AGGTGTATTCATATATGTGTTTTTGTGGCTGTAGCTCTATATCCTTGTATGAGTGTGTGTGTGTGTGTGTGCGAGGATTTCTTGCCTTGCTCTTGCTCTTCCACTTGCTGCATATAGTTTAATTTTGAAAAGGATTCGACTGCCGTTGCTAGAGCTGTGGCAATAGGACGTCCCGCTCGCACCGCCACTCACTTGGCCAGGATATATCGTTCGCTCTCGCTCGCTCGTTCTCTACTTCCGCAGCAGGACACTGCAGATGCGGTGGAGGCGAGTCCGTAAGTGGCCAGTAGTTGATGGTCGAAAATGCTGCGTCTGGCTGTCCCAGTTGTCCTGGCCGTCCTCAACGTCCAGGCTGTCCTGGCTGCCAGGCTCCATCCACGGGCTACCTCTTCAATTGTTTCAATTTTCCTGCTCGCTGGAAAACTCGGAGACGAAGGCGGTCAGAGCAGCCAGTGCGGCCTGCATTTGGCTTAGATTGGAAGGACAAATTCCAGCCTGGCCAGTTTTGCCTTCTTCTTACGCGGCATCCTAGCATCGCACTCACACACTCGTCCTCACACGCACACAGGACTCACAGGTATGCTGACAAAAGAGCTAAAACTGGCCAGGAGAAAGGAGTAAGTCGGGGTTGGGTGGGAAGGCGCATTAAAACAAAGGAGCTACGAGCTGGAATATGCAAATCATAGGAACATGGCAGCAGCAGCAGCAGCAGCAGTGGCAGGAGCCGCAGGAGCAGCAATGACCGGCCAACATGCATGGCACAAAATAGAATACAATCCTAGGGGTAGGACGAAGGCAGGGCTGGGTGCCGACGACCAAAGGGTCTTCGATGGACAAACTGAACTGGGTCCAAACAACTTGCGAGAGCTGCGGTTTTGTCTGCTCAAATCGCCTTAGCTTAGACAAAACTGCAGATAATGGGCAAGGGCCGGGGCGGCGGAATGGCCATGTTAGATGCCAAGTTAGGTAGCAAGGAGCTCGCAGGATGAGCAGGGTGTCTTGCAGGACGGCCCAGGTCAGCACGAGCGGCGGACAATGGATTAGGTTGTCTCCGAGCGCTGCTGCAAGTACTGATCCGCAAAACAATTCCAAAATCTATACATATCTGGGAAATACAAAATCAGGTGGATTGAAATATATAGTTTCTTATCTACAGGAAGGTTACAGGTTTCTATCTACCCTTGGGGTAGCCTATTTGGTAATAAAAGAATTGTTTAAGATTGGCTAAAATAGGGGTTTTGGGATCTATGTTAATTGATATATTTTTATATTAAATGCTTTGAAAAATTCATAAAATATCGGATTACAATTAAACATGATTATAATAATTAATTTTATTATGATTTAATTTTAAATCGAATCCAGAATATTTGTTTATAATATTATATACCATCAAGTTTTGTGGATTTTGAGAACAGAAATCTATTATATTTTGAAATGACCTATTATCCTATATGACCTACTTTGAAACATTTTGAGTTAAGAGGTTTCTTTTAAACAAAAACGCCTTAAAACTTATATGGAACCAAACCAATATTCAATTATAAAATATTTTAAATATTTATTTATTCAAAAATTAAAATATTTTCATTAAAAATCAAATACATATTCAAGAACTAAATAATCTACCAGTTTGTTGATATTTATTTAGTTGAAGGCAAGGTGCAAAGAACTAGTTTTAAAGATGTATATTCAAAATAGGATCCTTGTATATTAAGGAGCTAGGAGCAAGGAAAACTCGAGCTGGCACGCACGGTTGGAACCGCACGGAAAACCCATGTACACATACACATACCCATACGCACACACATTTATCTTTTTAGAAGGCAAACTGAAAATTTTGTTTTAGGAACAGTTATACAAAGACAATGTCAGAGGATGCAGATTCCCTGGTCCATGGGTGGGTGGGTGTCCTGAAAATCAAACGCACACGTCTTCTAGCATATGTACACACACGAACAAACACACAGACACACACACGCATACATATATCAAACACAAGCACACATTTATTCCGGGGGTGACCAGCGTCCAGCCCAGTGCGCCTTCATCTTTCAATTCACGCGAAAATTTCCTTCGCCATCCAGAGGTGTGACATGAGGGGTTGAGTGGGGGACCGGGGCGGTGCGGTGCAGAGATGGTGGGCGGATGGGTGGACGGCAGGCTGGCTGGACGACGGTGACAACGACGCGAACTGGCCGGGGAGAAAGTGAATTGAGTTTAGTCGAGGACGACGAATTCGTAATTGTACACACACACGCAGCAACATTAAGGATTCGCACACACACACACACATGTACGTAGAAGGAGGAGGAGGAGGGGGGGTGAAGATTTTTGGTCCTGAGGGTGATGGGCAGTGGGTGGTTGGGCGAAAGGCAGTTGGTCGAAAGGCAGCTGGCAAGGAGCTGCAGATATGAGAGAAAGTCCGGCGGCCAAAGAGAGAACGAACGAAAATGGAAAATGTTGCCTTGGTGGACACAAAGGACAATGGACAATCGGTCGGACGGGTTGGGTTGCTATTGCTATTGCCAAAAGGGAGATGGGTGGTGTGGGGCGTCGGGCGTTGGTAAGGGGGGGGGGTGCTGTGTTGGGCAGCCGATGAAAATCTGAAGTATATACCCACAAATACACACGCACTCACACACATACACTGGCAGTGTGGCAGGAGGCGCGTGTGTATCGCCACAAAGCAACAACTCTAAATTTTCGCAGCAGCAAAATTTACGCTAAAGATGCTGATGTGCCTGCGAATGCTAAGAAGAATGTGCGTCTGTGTGCGTGTATTGCGTACGTGTGCGTGTGCGTGTGTTTGTCCGAATATCCTTGCGAGCAGTTGTATGCGAGTATGTGTGATGAAATGAAGCGACCCGGGCAGGCTGCTTGGCTTTTTAGTGGCAAGGATATGTTTCTTGCCAATTCGGCCCCATGCCGGCCATCTGTAGTCCTAGCCAGAGTCCAGGACCTGGTCCTGGAGTCCTGTGTTATTGTTGCTCCTTGTTGTTGTGTATACGCCTCTTTATATATGTATGTATATGTATTTGTATATTTGTTGCTGTGCGTGTGCGTTTGGACATGGATTCAAAAACCTTTCTTAGCGATTTCCCGAAAGGCAGCGCTGGCGACACTGCTGCTGTCTTTTTCGTTGCTATTAGATGTTGTTGTTGTTGGTTGGTGTTATTGTTTTTGTTGTTATTATGGTCAGATGGTCAGAAACCGCCTTCGTTGCCCGGACACAATGGATACAGCTAGATAGTGTATGGCTGTAAGAGTATGTGTACTCTGCGCAAATATTTTGCATAGCAACTACAATGTCTACGACCTCAAAATGCCTATGTCCCATGTCCATGTTATATAAGATCATAATCTCCGGGATATCCGCGCCGACATTTCGATGCAGCCGAAATACACTTGTCAGGACTTATAGCACTAGCCTTTATAAATTGGGAATTTATCAGAAATTAATTTTGTATTTGTAGAGGTTTTTAGAATTCTAGAGATTAAAGAATAATTTTTTTTTTTGAGGAATTACCAGCCTTGACGTTTTATTAAACTGGCTATGAATATTGGAGGATATACGTTAAGAATCATGTAAAGAAGTTATAGTATTTTGTAAGGTAAATTTCTTAATCTTACCAAACAGGTTTCTTTGGGAATCTTTAGGTCTTTTAAAATACATAGGTTCTTTGAAGAATATACACTTAAGTCTTAATATATTACCCATTATAAGTTATATTATTTCTTAAGCTAGTTAAAGCTACTAATCATGATATCTGAGTAATAAAAGCATCATTCCCCATGAAGACAAATGCAAATTGTTTCATTTTGATTGACACCTCTTTTCCCAACTTGATATTTGCATATTTTCGCAACCTGGCCGATTGACGTATTGAGTATTTCGCCAGTGACGGTTATTAGCCATGGCAATTTACCTGAAAGAGCCGACTGAAGACTGAAGAAACCACCACCGGCAGCAAGACCCGATCCTAAGTCGGCCGAAGAATACCAGTTTCTTCGACTTGGAAGATCACGCTCCAGCGAAATGAGAAGAGCACGGATTCGCCTTGTTTTGAAGTGGTCGGTTGGGATGAATGGGGGACCGTCCTGCCACCCTCTCCCCCTGAAGGCAGCTAAAGCCCGAACGCCAGCACGAAAGCTGCTCAGCTGTCGAGCTTGTCTCTCGCTCTCGGAGGAATCCCCCTGGCTCTCTTAATAAGCGGATTTGGACTCTCTGAACGCCTCCTTGGGCTCTCGGGTGGCTCACCGAGTGGGCGCGAAAGAGAGACAAGGCCACATAAACTGTGATGAAGGCATGTATCAAAACAAAGCGAGAAAAACTGGCCGCAGCAATAACAATAAAAACGGAAAATGCAGCACATGACAGCGGGAAATCTAAAGATAAACAGAATTATCAGCGGCGATAACATAATCCTGCCCCCTCCGGCGAAAAGTAGGCAAGGATTTGTGCAACCGGTTCGAGGTGCCTATTTTGATGGAGGGAGGACGAAGAACGAATGGAAGGCGGGGGTGAAGACGACTATGAAGGAGGTCCTTAACACAAATGCGTTTTTGGGTTTTTGCAGGTCCTTAGAAACACACACACTCATATGCGTACGTGGGCGCAAGAAAAGAGGCCCAAAAGGATGTGCGTCTCTCGAAAAGCCTAGCACGAGGATTGCGTCGTCTTCGTTGCACATCTGTATGTGTGTGTGCGAGTGGACAGTGGCCTGTGGTTGGGCCGGCCAAAAGTTGCGAAATGGCCAAAACGAAAGCCAAAACGAAAAGCAAAGCCAAAGCGAGACGACTTCTCCTTCGCCGCCGTCTTGTCTTGGCCCGTTATTAATCATTGTACATTTGGCTGTCAACCGAAAAGGCCGCGAATTCGGCAGCAGCAACAGTCTCCGGGTGAAAGCGAGAAAGGACGAACGCGAGCGAAAGAGAGCGAAAGAGCGTATCCTGGCGTAAGAGTAGGAGCGAGAGCGAGAGAGTGCGAGAGCGAACACTACACGCACACCTACGGCCACGTAAATTGAAGCGAAAAAGAAACAAGAAGTCCACTACGACGACGACGACAACGACAACTACAACTACACCGGACTGACCAACACACCACCATTTCGCACGTGTTTGGGTGCATGTGTGTGTGTGTGTGAGTGTGCGAGAGGCGCGTATTTCGTGGACGTGCGACTTTAAATTTCCCGCTGCTGACGACGTCGTCGCCGCCGCCGCCGTCGTCGTCGTCCTCGAAGTCGCCGTGCGGAAATTCGCCGCGCTAAAATCAAAATTCAGCCAAGTCGAGCTCACGACGGCCGCGTAGTTTGTCGCCGCACGCTCGCCGCTCAGGTTCGCACAATCAATTCGTCCCATCCGCCGACGAGCGCGCATCGCTTGTCCTGCCGCATGTCCTTCTGCCGCTGCCGCTAAAAATTCGCACACGCTCCGATCCGTAATAGCGGTGGTAAACAGCCTCGCGCAGGAAGTGTTTGATTGCTCCACAGAGCACTCCGTGCTTTGTGCCTGTGCTTGCCCCCGAGAACGATTTATTATTATCATCTCACCGGTCATCGGTTTAATATCAAAACAATAACATTCCGCAAGCCACATGTGAATTAAATGTGAACAGAATACGTTTCGTTGGACAAATCAAAACAAAAGCCAAAAATCAATAGCTGTGCTATTGAGACTCATCGAATCATCCATTAGACATTAGCCGCCTTCCCCAGAAGGCCCAAATCATATTTTTCTCCCTGACGTTTCATAAAAAGGTTTGTATAACTTACATATTGTGATTAATTGTGATTATTTTCATTATTGTGATATTTAATTTTAACGCATTTCTAAATGAGTCCTACAAAAATAAGAACATTTATAAATACCTTAAAAAAAGTGTAATTTTAAAAATCTTTCACACCCGGTGTTTTTTGAAACGATTGAAGAAATATGCCAAGAATTTGTTTACTAGTTATTTTACAATGAACAACTAAAAAAAGCATATCTATGTATGTGTATTTAGTAAAGATAGGCTTCTAAAGGCTTTCTAAAACATACATAACAGGTCTTTTAATTGATGAAGATGAGTAATTTGTACCCTCCACAAGAAAAGTTATTTAAATGATAGTACCAACATGTTAATCTATAGTTTAACTTATTTAAAAGTGTCAACCGTTATAAGTTTTGCTTTAAAAGTTATGTTTTTCTTGCATTTATATATCGCTCAGAACTAATCATTACTTTTACAACCGAAACTCATGTTTTATGCATTTGATTAACCATTATTCCAAAATAATTATTATAATTCTAACTAATTATAATTTCTTTACGTTCAGATCCTAAATACTCATATAATATTATCGGATTCTAAAGTATGGTACAATTCCTTAAATCTACATAGAATATGTTAGCGATATTCAATAGTTTTCATAGAGAAATTTTACTTAATTATTTTAATTTGATGAGCATTTTAAATAGATTCCCTTAGGACGCTCTTATTCCATATCCCCCTGAAGTATGCAACATTTTTTTTTCGTAACCGATGCATTCTGCAAACTCGGCAAAAGTAATGTTTAAGGATCATGGAATAGTCCTTATATGTTTCCAACACTTTTCTAAAGATCACAAATAAGATTTTAGATATCAGAAAAATTTATTTTTACAGGTAACAAGACAGGTTTTGCTTTTGTTTTAACTTGAAAAATAAACTTATCATTCTCATAAGGTACAAGTAAAGTTTGAATCGAAAATTTTGTATCAAAAATCATTGTAAAATGAATATAATAGTGTTCTTAAAAATGAATGTAGAGTAATGTTCCTTAGATTATTAAAATACAAAAGCTTCAATTTTTAAATATTTTAAAATAATATCAGGTTATGAAAACCAACAGGTTTCCAAGGAAGAATATTGTAAGAGGTAAACGACTCTGAAAAACATTACTAGCCTCAAAACATAAAGTAAAATGGTTTGAGAAATTAATAGAGAAAGACATGAAATATTTTTAATGATAAACATATTTTCACTTAAAGAAAACATTGCCACTTATTGCCCTAAAATTTCCATATCAGACAATGTGCCAAAATAATAAAGCAGATTATCGAATCGGAGACGAGCAGGACATCCCATGCATATTAATAGTTTCCATAATCTTAACGACTCTAAGTGTCTGGCATAACACCCCCGGAAAAGTTCATATTAGCTCCATTGAATTGTAATCAGTTGGGATTGTCCCAGTCCAGGGGCCGAAGGGAGCATTAATCGAGTTAATCATAAGCAAACACAAGCACCCATTAAAAGGTGCAATAATGCTTTAAGCATGACATAGATCATTGGTTCCAACAGGTCCAAACTTACAGAAGCAACACACATGTTTGTACACAGACATTACTAATGTGTGAACAGGAATCCCAGACACTGGAGCACACAAACACAGAAACACAATCGGGATCAGACGGAGGCAACTTTTTCTTTTATCTCCGGAGTTCTTATTTTTATTTGTTGCCTCTTTTGGTGTTTTATTTCTTTTTACATTAACACAAAACGAATGGAGCTATCAAACGCTTGCACATATTAGTGCTAGTTTCAGTCGTTGACCTCCATTTGCCAGACTTTCCTCCATCTAGCCAGCCAGCCAGCCATCCAGCCAGTGTCCTTGCCACATGCACTGCCCACTTGGCCCCTGTATCCTCTGTCTGTCTGTGAGTGAGTTCAATACGAGAAGCCAAAGAAACGAAAAAATAGTAAATACAATAAAATTATAATTGTATATAGGAAAATCAGAAGCTCTTAGCACACAGGCTCACACTGACACACACACAGACATACAGTGGCAGGACATAAAACGGACAAACCAGACGGTTGGGTATTACAAACATATAGATATGTATGGTCATTCCGGCATACTTATGTACTTGTGTAGGTGAATGTGTGTGCATGGGTAAGTGTGTCCAGACATAGACAGAAAACCCCATACCCCCTTACCCCCTCATTCTACACTCCACACCCCCCCACACACATACACACACTGACAAACTTGGTGTAATTCTTTTATATTTATTTCTTTCATCTTTTTCTGTTGTTACTAGATTTTTTACACACTTCTCACTGTCCCAGTTCGGTTCGTGAAAAGTTTAATGGCGAGCCGGCTAGGACAAGGACGGACTGGGTCCAGGACATGGTCCGGCAGTGTGCGAAAGTGAAAGTAAAAATTCTTTTGCTTTGGCTCCAGCTCCGGCTCTGGCTTTGGCTCCGAATGGCCAAAGACCTTGTAATTTTTATACAGCTGTAAAAGTTTTATTCGATATGTGTTTGGGCATTGGGTTAGAGTCGAGAGGGGTGGCAGGTTGTTTGGGTTTAGGTTTGCACCATAGTCGACACAGTTATTTGCTGCTCTATTGGTTATGAGCATCCAAGTATGTCTGCATGTGCGCCGCAGGGATTAAATATTAGGTGTTTGGCCCACCCACAGGAGAGAGTAGGGTCCTGGCCCGCTTGGGTGGCGATTACCACCTGGCTAAGTATGCATTAAGCCACAAGTTGAATGAGGTGTCAGGCGCATAAATCAATGAGCCCAATCATTCCAATAGCTTTGAATTGGGTTACTTGGACTCATCGAATTCTACCGCAATTATGGGAGCTAATTTATCAAGAATTTTAAATAATTATTCAGAATACTAATGATCTATTGTTTTGGTTTTTTTAAAAACATTGATAAATATTTCCCCTAATTATCCTATAAAACTTTTTGCTCAAGACTTGCTTCTTTAAATATTTTAAAAAATATAAGAGTAAAGGTTTCAATAAATATTTAGATTGATTAGAAATTTTAATGAAGTGTATAGCATATAGATTATCTTATTAAATACAAAATAATTTGCAAAATATAAAAAATATAGACAGCTTTATAAAGTAAAGTTAGGAAATAAATACCCCATGCTTTTAGTATTTTTTATTTTTATATAGTGCATTTATTTATTATATTTAATATTTTATCCTTTGTAAAATATAAGACATATAGCTAGCTCTATAAAGTAAAGTTAGGAAATAAATACCCCCAGATTCTACTTTACTTATTTTTAAAAAATGCCTTGACCATATTATATTGAATATTTTATCCATTTTAATATCCCCTTTGTTTAAATTACTAAAAAAAAAATATTATAATATTATAAAGACTCCCAATTATCGAAGCCAAGTATAAAAGCCATCTGAAGTGGTAGTAGAACCCGCCAAGACACTGGCATCTTGTAAATACCATTCGGCATTTCGATGGATGAATGTCCAAACAAAAGACTCCACCAGTTTGGTTGCCACTTGCTCTTGATTCGCCACTCGGCTCTCTTAGCTTCTCTTCCTCAGCGACTGCCTCTTCTCTCCGTACAGTTGTATATTCGCCAAGTCCATTCGATATATATATATAGATATGGATATATATATTTGAAGATATATGCAGAAGGAAAGAAATCATGTGTCAGTCATGCGCAAAACGTGTTTTTCATTTTAAAATTGCAGCATGGGGCGAGCTCTTTTGCATGCCTCACTTTCTGGAGAGATGGAGGCGGAGCATATTGTCGTTCGCTCAGGAGCTCTCCTGGTCAGGCCTGGTCTTCTTGCCAACAACCTGACTTGGCCCAAAGGAAGCGACTTGAGATGGGGGACCCAAAAAAGACGCGCTGCATCTACATCTGCATCTGCACCTGCAACTTGGGCTGTGCTCAGTTTTTCGGTTCAGTTTTTTGGCCATGGGCGGGGGGCAATGGGAGTGTGGCAAGTGGCAAGGCGCAACAGGCGGGCTTGGCATTGGCATGGATGCCCCGAAGTTGGGGGATGTTCTGCGTACTGCGCTGCAGCAAGGCAACGAAACAGGTAAACAAGTTATAAATTCCAGGCCGGACTCGGTCGGCAGGGTTCGTCTTCTCGGTGGAGCTCGGTGGAGCCGGAGCCGGAGCCCGACGAATGGCTTGTTCTTGTTGCTTATTCGTAGCTCGCGTTGCGCGCTGCATTTTGGAGCAGGCGCGTCGCGGCGCGAAGGCAACGCACCAATTAGCATATTCCATTGTCTCCCCCGTATACACACACAAACACACAAAATTGGGTGGCAAGCTGGGGGTTGGGGGACTTTTCATTTTTGGCATCCTCGTGCGCCGAACGAAAAGAGGCTAGAAGCAAACGGGGGCGTGCCGCAGCTCATTTGCCTGCGAAAGCTGCCGCTGTCAGAGAGCAGGAGCAAAATTTTGTCATCTGAGCACTAGAGTATCCTGGTTGCCTTGTGCGTGTGCGAAAATCCTTGTGTATATATGTTTGTATGTATTTGTATATATGCAGATAGATACACAATATAGCGCATACGCCCGGGTGTACGGCGGTTTATTTACACCGCGAGTTGTCTGTAAAACTTTAAAGCGCGCGGCGATTTTATTGGAGCCTCGTGCGAACATGCCACCTCGCCTCGCCTCCCGCCCCTTGCAGTATGCGGCACGTTGTACATGGACGCGCGCACACGGCATTCGCCATTCGTGCGGCACATATATACACCGCTATGTGGCAAGTGCTGGCGAATGAGAACGCACTGTCGAAGTAGAGATATAGCAACTGTGTCACGGTAATTAATTAACGAATCTTCCACCTCTTGTCCGACTCTTTTCAGGCGCCAAGCTGTTCGACAACGGCCTGAAGTTGGATATTTCCAGCTACCCCCACATGAACATCCGGATGGGCACCAAGGGGAAGCGCCCGCTGCGGAGCCTGACGCCCCGCGACAAGATCCACGCCATCCAGAGGATCCACGATGGCGAGTCCAAGGCCTCGGTGGCCCGGGACATCGGCGTACCGGAGTCGACGCTGCGCGGCTGGTGCAAGAACGAGGACAAGCTGCGCTTCATGTCCCGCCAGTCCACCACCGACAAGCTGTGCGCCGACGCACTCTCCGACAAGCTGGACGTGTCCGGCGGCCTGCTAGGACCTCCGGAGAAGCGTCAGCGCCTAGAGCCCAATGCCCTGCCCCTTAACTTCTCCAACAAGCTAAAGTTCGACGAGCTGGCCTTCAAGCGATCCCCCCTGAATGGACTGGACTACAGCACGGGCAAGAACTTGTCGGAGCTGAGCTACAATGGTCTGCCGGTGCCGGACTATGTGGCCTTCAACGGGGGCGTCGGCAAGGCCAAGGTCTTTGGGGCTGACATCAACCGGCCCTCGGCCGCCACCGATCCCTCTCTGAACGCCATCAGTCCGCTCTCGAGCCTGACGCATCTGTCGGGTCTCACGGGCCTCTCGCAGTCTCCGCTGGCGATCAGTTTCAACGAGCTGACCACAAACCTGAACTTGCTGGCTCAGCTGAATCCCGGCCTGGCCGCCATGTCTGGTCTCAACAGTTTCCCAGCAGCAGCCGCAGCAGCAGCGGCCTCGAGTCTAAGGAACCCCAAGACGCCGGGACAACAGCCGCCGCCCCAGCAAGCCGTTCCCTTGCAGGTCCAAAGCCAGAGCCCCCGGAGCGACAGTGGTGATCGAATGGGATCGGGGTTGTCGGTCAAGAACTGGGCCAAACAGAAACCTCCTCCAGGGGAGGCTAGTCTAAACTTAAGCATTAAGAACGAGATCAAGGCGGGGGACATCAAGAGCCCAAGTCCTTCCATAGCACCCTCCCAGATGATGACACTCTCCAATCTGGCCGAAGATCCTTTGCTGTATTGGCTGAAATCCCAGCAGACCATGTTGGGGCTAAACAGTCTATACCCGCCCACGATCCCCATGGGCGTGACCAGTCCCCCCATCAGGTCCTCTACGCCGCAGCACATGAACCAGCATGCCCAGACCCCGCCCATTCCCTCGACTCCGCTGACACCCTCCTCCACGCCATCCGGAAGTCTGGACGAGAAGAACGCGGCATGGTACAATTGGTGCAAGGCTTTCGGAGCCAGTCTGCACAACCTCAATCCCAACGCCGCCACTCTGGCTGCTCTGCAGGCTAACTCACTGCACCAGCAGGCGGCGGCTGAAGGAGGAATGGGGGGAGTGGGAGTGCCAGGATCCGGTCCAGGAGCCATCACCGATCCCAGCAACATCCTGTACTCCCATCTCACCAAAGAGACTGAGACGCCATCAGTGCGGAGCTTGTCCTCCTCCAATGAACAGAACCAGGAGGAGGCCACCGAGACCGACGTGGACAACGACGGAGAGGCGGAGGTGGAGGGGGAGACGGGTAAGCCTGAGGACCTCTCGGCCGCCGGTAAGGCTGTGATGACGCCCTCACAAAGTCCCATAGCCCATTCCCCGTCAGGCGATAGCAGAAGTCCCGAGCCGCGATCAAAAGACGCCGAACACCCCAACACTCTCAGGGCAGCTTCCAACGACTGCAAGAAAATCCTGGACAACATGCTGTTCAAGATAAGTGGCCAGGAGCCAGGATGCGAGTCGGAGAACAGCTTCCAGCATACCAACAACAACGACATGAGTGCCAGCAATAACAACAATAACAATAACTCGAATAAGACGGATGAGGAGGAGAAGGCGAAGTATCTGGACTGCACGGACGACGAGGATATCGAGGCCATTCGACACGGGGAAAAGTTCCTACAGTGGCTGGAGAACTGCAGCAATCCCCGGGTGACGGCGGTGCAACTAATGCAACTGAGGTTCCTGATCGCCGCCATCAAGTCGGGAAATGAGAGCTCCCCTGGGCTGATGGAGAAGCCATGCAACAAGAGCCTGGCAGAGCCAGAAGCCGGCGAGGAGATCAAGGACAGCAAGGACATGGCTGAAGTCGAAGAGGGTAGCGGCCGTGGCAAGAGCCGGCGTCGCAAATAGGAAAAGCCAAAGTTGGCGCCCACGCAGCCAGCCACGGATAATACCAAGGACCCCAAGGACGCAAGCCAGGGCCAGGAGCCCCCAGTTGCTCCAGAGCCGGGGCAGGAGCAGGAGGAGGATGTCGAGAAGGACGACGAGGTGGCCAGTACTGCCAAGTGCCAGGAGTACAAGCCCGCTATCTACGAGTCCTCCGCCACTCTGCTCAGCTCACTCTTCTTCCCCCCTTACGAATTTGTACACTGTGACCTCGACGATGACCCGGACGATTGCCAGATTACGGGCGAGTATCAGCAATACGACGAACTGAGTTCCAGCAGCTAGAAAGTTAGGAAGCAGTTAGAAAGTGCTCCTCTGAATTTATACCCCAAGCTGTGAACCCCCAAGCTCTCCCACTATCGTGTAAGGATAAGGATACTGGATAAGCCTGACGCTTAGCTATTCTCCATCTTTTTTCAAATCAATTCCATTGCATTGTATTGTCTTGCATTAATTAATCGTAATGAAACCGTAACGAACAAAAGTGTATATATCGATGAATCTCATCTCTCTTTGTAGCTATTATTATTATTATTAATACTTTGGAACGGAACAAGTCGCAAATGAGTCGAATCCTGTGTTTCCCTAATGCATTCTAGGACAAATGTTATAGCCTTTATTTTTTTGTTACGAAACTTTTTGAACTGTAAGGTGTGTTGCCGCAAACGAATAATGACATGCATTTGATATCAAACGTTTTTAAATTTCATAAAAATCATAACGACAATGTGCTCAACAAGAATTTTCTTAATTCGAAATTAATGCGATATTTAAATAAAGCAAAAAGAAACATTTACAAATTTAAATGTAATTTTAAATACATGTTCAATAAAAAATAATTAGATAATTTTTATGAAACTCTTGGAATTCTTGGTCTTTTTATTTTTGATGATGGGGTGAGGTTATAATGGATTAAAAAAAACAATAAATGGAGATCGTTTTATGGTTTAATCATTAAAAGTTTGGAAACTTATAGAGGTGATCTAACCTTTTTATGGAACTTTTCAGGGACTGCATAGAAGGTATGATTTTCTAAAATAAAAAAAGTGATTCGGCATTGAAGTTTGAAAAACCCAACAGTATACTTTTTAATACCTTTTAAGGTTTTTTTGACAAAGTTTTAAACTTAAAGTTAGAGGGAATAAAATTTTATGAAACAATAATCAGAGCCCTAACAAAAGAGTTATTTTCTGAGAATTAATTTATCAAGCGACTAACTTTTTTTTTTTTAATTTAAAACTAGAATGAAAATGAGTATATTCTCTTCATAGAAACAAAAATAATTTTATGAAAAACAAGCATCTTTTTAAAGAAATAATTCATTTTAGTTAATAAAACAGTAATCGGAGCCCTAACAAAGGAGTTATTTTCTAAGAATTAATTTATCAAACTAAAAACTTTTTTTTGATTTAAAACTAGAATAAAAATGAATATATTCTCTTCATGGAAATAAAAATAATGTACAAAACACAAGCATCTTTTCGCAGAATAGTTTCTAAGGTTTCTCTATGGATAAAATTCCATTTTTGTGGTTTTGGTTAATAAATTTAAATTCAGAGAATTTGCAGAAGCTTTATGAAAGGCAAACAGAAAAGTTCTTACCAAATTTATTTGATCTTCCAGTGGCTCGTACTGAATGAAATCTGCAACAAACTTGGCAATTTCCTCAATGCTGGATATGAGTTCGGGGTAAATAAACGCCGTGGGCCTGATGGTGGTGCACACGAACTTCTGCATGTTGGTCGAGCCAATTTGTTTTATTTAGAAACAAAAAATATGATAAAAACATTTAATTTAAAAGCTTATGAACTTACCTGAACTCGGCATTCGTTGGGCAAAGCCAGGACCATGGCCCGGCGTTTTGGATAGGTGAGAACCAATTGCTTGCGGAAATTCTCGGCATAGAGCAGAAGCAGTCGCTCCTTCGGCGACAGCGTATAGTATGATACTGGATAGCACTGGGGACTGTCATGGAACTCCTCAGTTGTCTCCGGAAAGGACAGATCAATCTTCCCAATGTTCAAGGCCGGCTCACCTTCGGACAAGCTGAACTCACTTTCCTCAACATCGCCCATTTCCTCCTCGAAGTATGCTTCCTCCTCCTCAAAGAAATCCGTATCCACCTGGGACTGACGTTCTTTTTCGATCTCCTTGAACTTTGCCTTATAGCGGTCCGGGTCTATGGTGGCCTCCACCTTCTTGTACTTCTGGAATATTACCTTCGGCATTTTGGCGGTGTTTTTGCTTGTTTTCCACACAATAATAAATAAAACGTTGTGTTTCTATAACAACGGTAGATAGGCAAAAAATATATATTTTCCAATTCGATCAGATGTGTCAGAAAATAAAAAAAGGGGACATTTGAAAGGAGACTGATAACATTTATTATTAGGTTTTTATACCCTTGCATAGGGCATTATAGTTTCCCATATAGGGAAAACCCACATTTTTAAGGGATCCCATCACGAAAAATGGACAAAAAATGTAAAAAATATTTGGTCTCAGGATTTAAATGCAGAATGGTGGACCTTATCGATTCGTTTCACGAAAAATGGACAAAAAATGTAAAAAATATTTGGTGTCAGGATTTTAATGCAGAATGGTGGAGAATCGATCCAGATCGATTAATCGATTAAGGTACTCCGTTTGAGAATCGGATGAGAATTGGGGAAGATATAGCAATCACTGTGAGCCATATAGAGGAAAACCCCACTTTCAAGGGATTGGGATCCCTTGAAAAATGGACAAAAAATGTAAAAAATATTTGGTGTCAGGATTTTAATGCAGAATGGTGGAGAATCGATCCAGAAATCGATTAAGATACTCCGTTTGAGAATCGGTTGAGAATCGGGGAAGATGTAGCCATCACTGTGGGCCATATAGAGGAAAACACCATTTTTAAGGGATCCCATCACGAAAAATGGACAAAAAATGTAAAAAATATTTGGTGTCAGGATTTTAATGCAGAATGGTGAAGAATCGTTCCAAAAATCGTTTAAGGTATTCCGCTTGAGAATCGAATGAGAATTGGGAAAGATATGGCCATCACTGTGGGTCATATAGGGAAAAACCCCATTTTCAAGGGACCCCATCACGAAAAATGGACAAAAAATTTTAAAAATATTTTGTCTAAGGATTTTGATGCAGAATGGTGAAGAATCGTTCCAGAAATCGTTTAAGATACTCCGTTTGAGAATCGGTTGAGAATTGGGGAAGATATAGCAATCACTGTGGGCCATATAGGGGACTATATCCCATCTTTCCTATCCGTGTTTTTGAAGATAGAAAGTTGGAAGTTCCTACAGATTCTTTTTTGGGCCATATGATACGACCTACCAAATTTCATAAGGATCGGTCGACTGTATCCTATAGCTGCCATATAACTGAACAATCGGAAACAATTTATTGTTGTTTCGGGGTCATGGGGATCTTTAATGCTTTGTACTTTTTCATAGGCCTCTTCGGCGCCTTCGTAAATAGAAACTTCAAGCGATCTACCAACATCTTGAAAATGTCTAAAAATGGGAAGGAAGGGTTGAAGACGTTTTAAAAACATTTATTAGCAAAAATTCATTAATTTCTAAATGTTTCTTCAAAACATTCCATAAGGCTGGCGCCATCTAACGTTTTATATAGGAAACACAACCAGAGAACTGCTTTACCATCATGTATTGGCACTTTATATATCGTTATTTTGGCTTTCGAGTTTCTGTCTTGTTGCAGCGCCCTCTATCGGTTGTTGAACGAAGCATTTATTGTGACTTATCAACACTAAACACAAAATCAAAAGCTGAAGACTGACTTGGCGGGAGTTTATTTAATTTATATACTCTATTTTAATTTATCTGTTATTGCAAGTTATTAAAATGAAGAAAATTAAAGGCGAAACCGATGATGATTGGAAGATGATTTAGCTTTTTAGAACTGGCTTAAAACTTTTTAGTGAAAAACACATGATTTAAACACCCACAGGCATTTAACAAAGTATTATTTTCATCAAATATATTTGGCGATATATAAATATATTTATTTGCCATAGAATCGGACGAATGTCTGCAGACTTATGATCCTTTTTTTCCACAGATTTCCACTGATGTTTGGGTCATTTTGTTGAAAATGTATGATACTATACTTAGTTAAAATCATTTATTTTTCAAAGGGTGGTTTATTGTGAAAAATATTTTTTTCTGTTTTTATATATATTTTAAATAAAAATAAATTAATTCCTTACTTTGCGAACCTTATTTTGCCTAAAAATATAAATTATTCGTTATGTACTTACATTACAAATTGTAATGATAAATTAAGCTTTGCAATGAGAATGGGTTTTAAATTTAAATTTTATTAAGAATATAATAATAAAATTCTATTATAATAATATAATAATAAAATAAATTCTATAATATAAAAATGTATTGTAAATTGTTGCACATAATCGCAGTATAATTTGCATAATTATTGGACGGCTTTATATTAATGCTAGAATTGCAGCAACATCTGGCCGGCTTGGTAATTTTTTTAAGGACGACATCCTTAGCCACCGTGTGTCTGCTCGGACCGCAAATTGCATTTGCATTATTTATATTGCATCAATAAAACCCGCATTCAGGAATAATTAGCGAAATACTTGCCGGCAGAGGGCACAGGACACCGAACAGAGCCAGAGGACAGAGCCACGACGAGCATCAGCACTAGCATCAGCGGATTGAGATCGGCGCAGTTGATCCGTTTATGGCTGGCGCTAGGATTTATTTGTACTTCCTTTCGCATTTGAAAGGCGAGCGTCTACCTGGGATTGATGGATTGATGCTACATTCATGAAACCATTTGGCGCTTTTAAGCGACTCAATTACTGCACTTTGATTCCCACATTCGTCGCTCTGGCAGTCGCCTGTCCTGTCCAGAGTCCTGCCACCAGGACGACTACCTGTTGTCTGTGTCTGAGGCAAGATGCGTAAGCACTAATTTTTGTGTTTAGAGTGCTTCGGTGCTCGGTTTGCCGTTTAATTGCCCGCGGCTCGCGCTAAGTGTTCCCAAGAAAAACAAAAGACATCGCTGTGCTGCGCGGCAATCGGCGCTCAATCAAGCACATGTGTCCTCTATGTCCTGTGTGTCCTGCCTGTCGTGTTGACTCCTGGGCGCCTGCGACTGCGCCTGCGGATGTCTGCGGAGTGTCAAGCGCCTTTGCAGCCTTTGTCTGATTATCGTCCACGCAACGTTTATGTGCGGTTATGTCAATTAACGGGCTGCGGGATCAGGCTGGGAGGAGGGTATAAAAGGTAGCTCTTCACTTAGCCAGGACATCACTTTCGCCGCATCCTTTGCCCGAGACACACACATCACCATGCACCTCGCTAAAGTTATCGCCCTGCTGCTGGCAATCCTTGACAGCAGCTATGGATTGTACATCAAGAAAGCTGAACGTGAAAGCCCAGTTTCCACTGAACTAAAAAAGGACGATTGGGGAGTCTTCAAAAATACCCTTGGACTAACCCAACAAAAAGGTGTGTATTTTTATTTAAACACAATCATCTTTGGAGCTTTTACTTAAAATTTTATTTTTTATAGTTGAAATTCTGAAATCACAAAAGGACCAGAAGGGCACCAAGGAGCTGTTGAATCGCTTCATTTTGGAAAACCCAAAAGCCCTGCCAAAGAAGAAGGAGCAGCCCGACCAGTTTCTAGGAATCTACCGCTCCTTGCTGAAAAAGTTAACCGCCTCCAAGCGCATGCTGAAGACATCCTTGAACTTTGAATTGGCCGACAGGCCTCACAAGACCCTTAAGCGTCCCCGACGAAAGATCGCCGTCAAGATGGTCTCCGACATGCCATCCTGGAAAATTGACGATCTCATCAACTCCTTCTATCTGAAGCACGGAATTCCCCGGAATTCGGATCTGGATAATGAGGAGGGCGACTACCAGGATTCGGGAATGCCATCCGACTCTGACACTGAGGATACTGACTATCCCTATGATCACATCCTAGATGACGAGGGCGATGCCGGCCTAACGGCCATGGCCCGTCAAAACTCGGAGTACGGCTCCTTCCAGGACCTGATCATGCAGGCCAAGATGAAGGAGTGGGAGCGCCGGAACGAAGAAACCAAATTGCACGGCTCAAAGGATGACGACTTTATCTAAAGTTTCCGGATAGAGTCTGAGAGAATATTTCGAAATAGGGCTGTGCAATAGGGGTTCATATGCTGGCATTGAACTGATTTTTAGGCTAAAGTAGTTAATAATGCCAGAGAAGCCAAATCAAGACTTTATATTTTATTTATTAGATTAACTTAGGTTACACTTTGATTATTTTTTTCGAAATCAAAATAAAGTATTTATCAATGAACTAAAATCCGTTGTTGTGGGGATTCTGTGTGGGTTTTCGGAGTGGTTCCTAGTCAAAAGAAAGCTTGTGGCTTGTGCGCATGTCCTCTCAATAAAGGAAAGCTTTTTGTTTTACGGAAATGTAAATAAATGTTTCATTTAATAAACATTGTCAGAAAATAGATGATACCTGTGTTATTATATTCATTTATAGCAGTGGGATAGTCGTCTAGTTGGTAGTATTTCTAAATTTTTTAAATAAATATTATATAAACCAACATAGGCTTTGTTCTCAAAGTCTTGAAACTCATTGAATCACAACAAGGACTTTAACAATGCAGGACACAAGGAGTACAATAGCTTATTCTGATCCAAACAACATTAACACGTGCTTCAGAATGAAAACAAGAAATAAGAGCGGGTGTTGCCGGAACTTGCATACCCTTACCAGGATTGGCTACATTTGCAACTTTTAAAAATTTGTGTGCTAATATGGGAAATCCATCTAGAAATCCTTTAAGGTACTCCGCTTGAGACTCGGCTGAGAATTGGGGAAAATATAGCCATTACTGTAGACCATATAAGAAAGACCCCTTTTTCTAAAAAATCAAAAAAATATTTTGTCTAAAGAAATTGATGGTCAGGGAGTGATGTTTAGACAATATTCGTCTACCCTTACAATTAGTCTGTTGTTCAACTCCAAAACTAATTTATTCAAGACGCAAACTTAAATGAGAATCTGCACCTGTTGCATTTTTCTGGCCATTTATTGGAATAAATCTAGATGAGTTTTGAAACTACCATAAAACTTGAGCTTTCGGTAAAAATTGCTTTCCGAAAAACCAAAAAAGTTTCTCCATATTCAAATTGTTCATCCAAACTTTGGTTACACTTGTGCTGGGCAATCAATACGTTCCGCACGAGGAGTATATGCAGAATTTCAAAATGCACATCACGTAGAAAGTCTTTTAGGTATCAGCTTCAGCAGCTTTTTGACGCTCCTCTGGCATCATTTATGCACGTACTCAGTTTTCCTGGCCTGCAAAGTTTAGTTGCTGCGGCATTAGCTCCGTCACTGGCCAAATATTTGGGTCTTTGCATAATGCCCTCCCATCAAGACACACTCCGCCTAGGCGGCTCTTTTGTTTAACAATAATACGGTATATGTATTTTTAACTTTATACACGGTTGATAATTTAGAGTACATAATACGAATCAAATAAATAAAACGTGAACACATACAACGTAAGGATGTAGTTATCTTACAACTAAACAGGAATTACAGATGGGAACAGATATGTCCTGGTGCAATAAATAATGGCAGTAATACCTATTTCTATCTGATTTCTGTCAAAGACTCGAGAGGGGTATCCGGTTGCCCAAAGTCTTTCGTCTTGGAGGTAATAAAGCTCTTGGGAATCAGTGCACGGTATCCTGGGATAGATCTACAACTTCTCACCACTTAGACTAACAATATTATAGTAATTATGATCTGGAAATCGTTCCAGCTCTATGTAGTCCATTTCGGTGTGAAGCAGCTTGTCCAGCATTTGGATTATTTCCGCAAAGAGTGGACGCTCCTGCGGATCTTGTGACCAGCAATAATACATAATATTATAGAGCTCTCGACGGCAGTGCTCTGGTTTCTCCAAACGGTAGCCATCCCTCACCTATAAATGAATTAATTCAGTTGTTATTTAACTATAAATTATATCTACTAACCTTTCTCATAACATCGGCTGCCGATATACCAGGATATGGTGTGGATCCCAAGGTTACAATTTCCCACATCAGAATGCCAAAGCTCCAGATGTCGGATTTTACGGAGAATATATTGTCGTAAAGTGACTCTGTGGCCATCCATCTTAAGGATTAAATAGAGGTTATTAAATGGGCTTACTAGGTTATCTGAGTCTTACCTTATTGGCAGCTTTCCCTCGCTCTTTCTTTCGTATATTTTCGAAGTAATGACGTCCCTAGCAAAGCCAAAATCTGCCACTTTGCAGGTGTGATCGTCGGAAATGAGAATATTTCGAGCAGCCAGATCACGATGGATAATCTATCAATAGCTCATTAAATTAAATTTTCCTCAAAATATAGAAAAATATCACTTACACCCCTAGAAGTTAAATAATCCATGCCCTTGGCTACTTGATACATGAAGGATGTTAGGTCGCAGGAGGTAAGAATATTTGATTTCCCATGGGTGTTGCCGTAGTGCCTGTGAAAGATATACAATAAGCATTTAGTTTCCGCCGAAATTATCATAGCTTACCTCTCTGCTCGCGAACTGCGCAAATAAGTTTGCAACTTGCCGCGATTCACGAATTCCAAAATGACAAAAGTCGGATCCTTATCGGTGCAACAGCCCAGCAAGCGGACAACATTGATATGCGGCTCCAAGGACTTCATTACCTGCAATAAATACGAAATGTCATTAATTTTGTTTATGCCCTTAGACCTCTAATTATGCGAAGATTGTAAAGTTTGGAACTTGGCTCTTTGTTACCTGAAGTGGTAGTAATAAAGGCCTGTATTTATCTTTATGGACAACCCTTTTACGGGTATTTACTTCTGGCTAAGTAGCAGCAATTTATATCAGTTAATAAGTTGTTCTCTTTCAGCCCAGACCCCAGCTCCTTTGCTACTAATTCAATTCAAAAACTTTAAGCAACAAAGACATCAACTTTCGGCTTTACAATGGTCGGCTAGCAGGGCAAGAGAGAGCGTCGGGAAGAAGGGGAACCTAGCCGAGGGCCATTCATAATTTTTCATTGTTCTAAAATTAAAGTGCAATTATTCTCGTTTCTGGGGTAATCCGCAAAACATGATATACAGCCGCCGCACACTCTAGTTGGTGCCGGTGTTTCCCAGCCAGTCAGCTAGTCAGCCAGTGAGACAGCCAGGCTGTTAGGCGGTTGGGCAGACATCCTGTAAATGCGACTTTAATGATGAAGGACGCGACCTGAACGGCAACCCTAGAGTGGCTCTCCAGATTCCTCCTCCGATTCCTTCGAGTCAGATTCAGTTTCAGATTCCGATTCAGATTCAGATCCAGATGACTGGGGGATTCACGGGGGCCACGAAGGTCCCGAACTCCGAAAAGTCGAAAAGTGTCAGTGCGCAGGTCGAGAGGATATCCATGAACGTATATGTGTGCGAGTATAAAGGACCATAAGTAGTGCCCTGCGGGCGAGAGGATGCTGCGGTCTTTGCCACATTTGTCAGTTTCAACAGCAACAGGAATCAGTTTGTTTCGAGGCGTCGGAGCGCGTGGTCCAAAAATAATTTATCTATCCGGGATCCCAATTTTTTGTCGTCCTGTGCGGTTGTTGCTGGTTGCCCAAAAAGAAAGCCAAAAAAAAAAAGGGAAGATATCCCATTTGCTTGGCTGCGGGGTACGAGACTCGTGGAGATCCCAATGTTTACTATCCAATACGTGAATCCTGTGGCAGCTTGTCTTGAATAAGTGGCGTGTACTGGTGCGTTCAAATGCTGGTCTTATTAGCTAACCATCGACTTTTCTACCCCGGCACTTTCAGAGGTAATAATGCAACTTTAGGTGTATGTAAATGCTAATCGATACGCGAATGGCCCTGGCCCTCTTGGGCTGCTATCATTACGGGCCTCATGACTGCCTCCAAAAATTACTCTTAGCTGGAGTGGTGCTTCTGGGCCGAAATAAATATGTTGTCGGTTCGATTGCCATGACAACATTCCACTATTCCCCCCGAGTGTATGCAAATTGTAGTGAGTGTTGATGGCATTAAAGGACCATAAATGTGTTCACAACAAAAGAGCCGTGCGGGATCCAGGACAATACACAGTTCGAAGTTGAGAATTTATTGATTCGTGATCCCTGTTTTCAAATCCATGCTGCTTTTTTTCCGTAATATACCTCATTAAGGACAATTGTCTGCAGAGCTATTTGGTTTACACGATTTCACGATGGGAGCTCTTTGTTTTAAAAACACATCCTCGCGATGTCATCGCTAGTTCGGCCCTTCGATGAGCTTTCAGAGTTCCACATATGAGTGCGAGTGCGAGTGGCAGCATCAAGGATTCAAGGCATTAAATATGCAAGTCTGACACCGGAATACTTACAAGGGCATAAATTAATAATTTTGTCGCAGTATTTTTGGCGAGCATGAATATGCAACAAGCCAGGCTATTTTTCCGAGCTGACATTTAGGCAACACGACAGTGTCAGAAGCATTTAAATTACCTTTTAGTTGATAAGACTCTAATTGGCTTTGAGTTCGAGGCTCATAGAAAAAGTTTATGGCACGACAGGCTTCCTGACAAAGCGAATCAAGGCCAGCTAATTAATATAATAAAATAAACAACAGGAAGGACACTTAACAGGAAGCTCAACAGACTAAGATGGCTAAACTTTAGATGGGAAAACTCCTTAATAAACGGCTCTCTTTTGGGATCCTGATACTTTGCTTACCCAAAGGTAAAAACTACATACCCATGGCACAACAAGTTTGAGGAAAGTAATTTTAGAAAGCACTTCTTCATTTCTCTAAAATTTGCTTCAATTGCAAAGACCGTGAAACGAACTCAAACATTTTGCAAACTTTTAGTAGAGACACATAAGTAGACTCTTTTACGTTTTCATTAAAAAGGCAAACATTAAATCCAGGCTTGAGGGGCAAACGATGGAAGTCCTGCATTTTTTTTTGACTTCTTCTTGTATTTCTTTGCTGCTAAAGTCCGCAAGTCGCAAGGAGTAGAAAAGAAATTCTTTCAAAACTTTTCAGCATCGTTAATTTTCAATTTACAAAACTTTTTCATCTAACCAGAAAAACCGACTGGCAAGATTTGCCCAGCAGCCTGCACAGTTCTCGGTATTCAGTCAGGCATTTGGGTGGGAATAGGACTAGAAAGGATGGTGACAGGGACGCAGGGAGCAAGGACTAGGGTAGGAAATGAAAATAGGTAGGGAAAATGGAGAAAATGGGGAAATGGTAACCAATTGAATGAAAAGTGACAGAGTGAAAGGCAGCCGAGAAATTGCGCTCACCAAGTCGTCGTCACTTAGCCAACTTTGCTTGTAACGATTTTGTCGGTATTTTGCATACTCTTCACAAGGATCTTAAATTATTGTAAATGCAAATTTACAATAATTTGTTGTTTTTTCATATTACGCTTACCTCCAGCTCGGATAACAAGTCCTTGCGGTCCACTTCGGTGGCGCTCTCCTTAAGGGTCTTCACCGCCACCGTTGTAATGCCCTCAGAGTCTGTAAAGAAAGAATATATTTAAGTCTTTTGGTACTATTTCGAAAAGTCCCTACTGCCTGTTGGCTACGAAAACATAATATATATGCAGAAGCCACTTGTCTTTGCTTGTCCACTTTACGTGCTCATAAAAAAAAGGTAGATTGTGGAAATGGTTTTCGGTGGATGTGGCACATGCACATGCCACATGAACACCTGAGTCCTCGGACGAGGAGGTGGCATAATCCGCGCTGATTGAAAACACAATCTGCTTAATTTAAAATACCTTTCTACGTGACGATAAAATTACTTAAATTCATATTTCTCTCATACGTACTTGACACACTTACCATTTATATTTGTGGCTTCGCAACGCCACACTTGTCCGAAGGCACCTTCGCCCAATATGTTGAAGAACTTCAATCGGTACCTCGGGAATTCCCAGCGGTCGCCCTTTGCCTCGCCAGCAATACCATTTTCCGCCTGGAGGCCACCGGAAGTGCCACCACCCACAGCCATGCCTCCGGCCCCAGGACCGGGCTCACCTGTCCCAGGACTCTGGGCTGTTGCAGTGGCATCTCCGGCATTGGGGACACCTGTTGATAGCTGGGAAGTTGCCTTTTGCGTCCAAACGTTAGATTGGCAAGTTGAGCGACAGCATTGTGGGTTAAAGTCAACATGGCCATCGATGAAAGGTAGTTTCCAACATCATGGCACGGCGGCGGAAATGCCAGTTTTGTTGATTTTAGTGACAGGTACAAATATACGCAGCATAGGGAGAAATAAAGCAAAGAAAATGGGTTACTAAAGGATCTCCTCAATGATTGCGAAAGCCTTAAAAATGAGCATCAATGTCTTGACTATTTTCTTCATAAATCTCAGCCACATGCATGGGGAAACATTTCTATTTTGCTGCCATGAATTCACTGGATTATACATGCGCTGTCAGTGAATAAAAATCAGTTGAAGGAACGTCAATAGTAGACGCCTTTATGCAGGTGCATCCAGCTCCATTTTCCTGTCAATTACACAGCCGATATGGCCACAACAGCTAACAGGACGAGGATTCAGTGAAGGTGTTGAGTGAGCCAACTGGAAATTGAGGCTGAAATCAGCGACTGAATAGCTGTCGATTGCAGGAAAAATCCTGGAAATAGTTTTCTTGGATATTTTATGAAAACATTGCTTGTGGGATTACTAAAGGAAAGCTTTTCAGAGTGAAATTTATATTTGAAAAGAAAATAGTTAAAAGGAATTATTACAGAAAGTAATTTTTTGAGCAAAAAAATCCAAACTACTCTGTCTAATCGTATTACTCATTTCTGTTAGCATCTCGCTGGGGATTAGTGTTTTTTGAGATGCACCTCAAAGTAATTCATACTCACAATGCCCATCTGCTGGTCCCGTTCCCAGGGCACGTAGCGATTCGCAAAGGCCACGGGTCCCTGCCACTGTTGCATCACCATCGAGTTGCGACTATCGTCGGTGAGAGTGCTACTCAGCTGGCTGGGATTGGACTTCTTGGCCAGCTCCTCCTTTTCCTTGGACTTTTTCAGAGTTCTGCTGATGGCGCACAGGCGACGGCGACACAAAAAGGCCAGGAAGACTGCCAGGGCGGCAACGAAACCGCCAATGGTGACCACAATGGGAATGGTGCCGGACTTGATGGAGAACACGTTGATGGTGTTATTACCACTGCCACTCTGGACTGGCTGCTCCACCCTCGTCGAATTATTGGCACTTATTGGCGTCAGTTTGGTGCGGCTCTTCTGCGTTGTGGAGCTTATCCTGGGGGGTGTTTCTGGCGGTGTCACTTCAGAATCACCATCAGGCTCGGTGTCCTCGGAACTGGCCTCTGTTTTATGATCCGGGGGCGGAGGCGGCGGCGGGTAGTTTGATGGGTAGTTCACGAATGGGGGTGGTCCGAAAAGGCCGCCACCTGGACTCTGGGGCACCGGCGGGAATCGAAAGTCTGGCCGGTTATTTGGCAGCCCATTTCGAATGGACTGGACACCGGGCAGTTGGTCGAACCGGGGCAGAAATTGTGATATATTGTGCACCACGTTCGAAATCGATGTTTGCGGTCGAGGGCCGATGCTCTTCTCCCGTTCCCCCAAAATATTTATGAAGACTTCATTTTTGGCCGTATAGCGTCCATCGGTGACAGTTATATAGATGAGAAAATTTTGACCGGCCTTTAAGGTTTAAGAAATATATTGAAGTTTCTAAGTAAATTATATTTGTAAAGTGCTTACCCTTCCTGCCAGACTTTCGTTGAGCGTGACTACACCGGATTCCCTGTCTATATGAAATGGCAGCTTCTCTGGAGTATCTCCACTGCCGGGAATCGGCGAAAAGCGAGGCTCTATTCCAAATATCAGGTCATCCCCATCGGGATCTTCGGCCCGGACCTGATCAATAAACTGGCCCACTCTTTCTGATTCTGGTATTCGCCAGTTTCGCTCTCGAACATACAGTATTGGAGGTGCATTTTGGTCGTGGGCAGCAGCTGAAATTTATGTTCAAATCAATTGTAAAGATTATTACAAAACAGGTTGCTGGAATGCAGCTTAAAAAAAGATATGGGAAACCTCAATGTATGGTTTTAAAATCAAAAAGATTTAAAATAAATCGTTAGACTAACAAGTCCATCTAATTACAGAGACTTTTATCTATAATTAAAATGTAAAAGTAACTTTGTGTGAAAGGCACTTACTTTTGTAAATTCCCTTACATTCTAGTCCCAATTAAAAGCAATTACCACTAATAAAAAAAGCAATTAGTGCTTGCAAAACTATATTTTCCGCTGAAAACCCAGATATCACGTAAGCGTATTAAGACCAAAGACTTGTTTTGTAATTCCTTAGAAAACCTCATGTTCAAAGCCAGCCTACACAGTCCAATCTGATGACGACAGATTGCTTAATTGGTTAATGTTAATTGGGCCCTGGGCTGAGCTCTTCAGCAACTTTTCATGCATTTGCATCGACCGGGCCGGGCCAGGCCCGAATGGCTGCCAAGTTCATTCAGATACTCCCAAGTACGAGCTATTGACCCGGATGTCTAGCACTACTCGGTGGCGGTGCAGTGTGGCAGGCTGGTTTTATTTGTGGCATTGAACGAGTGCCAAGCGGACACAAAAGATGGTTTTGGGATGGGGCCAGATTGCAACATCGCAGCTGAAAAAAGTGTTATATTTCTTCTAGCGAATATCAATCGGTTCATTGTACACTGAGAATGTCCATGAAATATTCCCCATATTGAGTTGATTTCTTTGCGCCCCATAAGTCAAGCATCATTCAATGGACCTAAGCGACGTGACGTGATAACCGGTTGGGTTGTTTGCACTTGTATCTTTTTGCCTTTGTATCTTTTGCTGTCTCTGCTTTAGCTTCACGACCTTCAGATACAAATGCGCACACATGTAACGAATACGTATACGTGATATTTGTACGCGTCTGTGTATCCGACTATCTGTGTGTGGAAAAACGGAGCTAAACTCTTAAAGAAGGAGGAGAGTGTGTGTATTTTCGCCAAGAGCGCGACTTAAGTGAGCAGAATGTTTTTGCACGGCGGCTTGTTGTTTCGCCAAACAGGTTTGAGACATGCTTTCGGGCGGATTTAACTTTGTCCGCATGTAAGCTCATCCAGATAAATATGACTGCTATATATTATGAGTGCTCGGAGAAGTGTTCCGTTTCATTTAAATATTGCACAATATGCTCGGGGGACTCACACGTGCACGAATGCCACTCTGCAGAGTGTGCAGGTTCCCAAAAAATTCTCCGAACTGGAAAATTAAAAACACGAGGAAGATATTTCGTAATATTTCTTTCTTTTTAGTATAACTTACGAGAAGAAACATACACTGATAGTATAATAGTGTACATATGCTATAGTATAGTCTAACCAGTTTTTATTTTCAATGAGAACCAACTGGTAATCAATTTTCTACAGTTAACTTTTAAAGGTTTCTACATGCTATTGAAGACTTCAATCAATTAATATCCAAATCGAAATGATTCAAATCCATTTCCTGATAATTAGATGGCTTAAAAGTTCAAGCGCCGTGATTCAGACGCCCCCAATGCAATGACACTACCGATCTGGAGCTGGAGCCCAGAAAACATTCACGGTCAAGGCTGACTTGTACTGAAGCTGAGCTCCGATTGTTTTTCTCGCCCACGGGGACATATGGATTACAGGTGGGACTCTGAGAGCTATTTCGCATTGTTTTGGATACCAATTACGCAGTGTGTGTGGTGGTCATTAACGTGTTTTGTCATCAAGATAGAGAGGGACTATTGACCCGATAGTACATTCACATTTGGCCCATGTATTTTACCTGATTAATTAGTGTCTTGAGAACTAATTAGGACAATTATTACTACCAGTGGTTTGGCTTTGTCTTTAATTAAGATTTGTTCTTAAAAGGAATCGATACATTATCTTACTAATTAAGCCTCAGGACCGAAAATTATGCCGTTTTCTTACCTTCTTGTGAAATCAGAGAAACCACAGATGCCGCAACCATAGCAATGGCCAGCAGCCAGCTCCTCCTTCGCCATGTAATTAATTGTTTTCTGCAGTGTATTATCCGGATATCGTGGTTGTGTTGGTGATAAACCATTGCGCAATCAACCGCCTAAACGGCAGCCTGCAAGCGGCAGATGTCCGAGGACTGAGACAAGGTGATGAAATTTTAATTAAAAATGAATGTACACTGTGTGTTGAAAGGGAAACAAGTGACATATGAGTTGGGGGCGAGCATAGTGACTGGATTCCGTAAATTTCGCGAATATTTTTTCTTTTTGTTTCTATGTTAGTTTGCTTTCGTCGTTATTAAATCAACCGAAGCCGGAAATATGAAAAATAACACGCCACTTCCAGCTGACTTTGGCATGGGAGACCAAACTAACATGGGAGATGGGAGAGTGAACCAGGATATGTAAGTACGTTGAAAAAGGTTTGAGTGAAGGGCACACATCGCACTCAACTAAAAGAAAATATAACTTAAGACGACGCGCGTCATGAAGCGGGTCGGCGATTTCTCTTTTTGACGTATACGGACGTACGGACGGGGACGGCATCGGGTGCATGGCGCAATAGCAAAACAAACTGGGCAACCGAGCACAGCCCCAATATAAATGTATACATATAAATACAAATATAGGTATCCACGGCACACGTATGTACGAGTATGTTTGGTAAAAGATCGCACAGGGAAAAAAGAGAGAGGTGTGTATTTAAATAATTTATAGGATTTTATCAAAACTTTAGCATGGGCTTCGTTTTTGCCAGATATTGGCCCAGTCACAGGTGACGAAATTAGCAGCTGAATTATATAAATTAGGCTTTAAACATCGGAAAGAGGCCACACGCCTTAAAATTCACTGGCGTCTATTTCCATATCCATGAGTCATCACTACGCACATAAAATATACTGAATTTTCATTATGGAGCTATTATTACTTTTTTTAGGGTGGGATTTCGCGTTGAATTTCACATATATAGATTGTACACAAAGCCACTGGTATCTGAAACTGGTATCCACAAACTTTCACGGGCTTGGGTATCGGGAGATCCCTGAGCGGGACTGAAGCGACCGTTGCGTTTGACTACTCGGCTGACTGTGAGATGGCTAAAAGCCCCAGCTTGGCCAGAAAGCCGACTTGCCGATCTCTCGAAGCCAGATACCCTCTATCTTAGCCTCTCTTTCACAGCCCAAAACGAATAACTTGTTTGGGATCCAAAAACAACAAACTTGAACTTGCTCTCGTGTGGATCTTGAGTTGGCCGGCGCTCTCTCCAGATCTCACTCGCTCTCCCTCACGCATTGTTTGTGGAACTTGAAAACTTAATTGAATTATCTTGGGCTTACTGATAATACTTATTCAGTTTGAACTCAATTTTCAGTTGCAGACACGACAAAAAATACTGATTAGGGAAATCATTAAAAAAAATAAACAAAATTAAAAACAACATGTAGACTTAATCAATGATTTTAATCCAATCATGTTGAGAACTCATATCCTCAAAAACTGTGATTTTTATTTTGAAATACACATTATATTGCCATTATTAAACGAATAAAACAAAACTTTTAAGTTACATATTTTTGAATATGGCTATAAAGATTATAAGTTAGACTAAATAACAATATTCGTGGTAATTAAAACCTTTTTACAATCAAATAAAGAAAATTATATTAATCAATCCATTTTTAATCCTTGGCAATCAGAAAGTACCTTGTGAAACCCCAACTTTAGAATTGTTTTAACATTCATTGACAGAAGCTTAATGAAGAGAAAACACATAGTTATATCTGATTTAATATATTATTTACTAAAACTCATCAAAAGTAATACCAGTGTCAGATAATAAAGATGAAAACCATGTCTGACTTTTGCGGTCAAATAAAACCCCCGTGTCTTAAATGATTTGTTGTGGGATTTTTCCATTTTCCACGCACAAAAGCGCTTTGTACCAGGATGGATTTACAAATCAAAGCATTTATCTGTGGGGGCACGGTATTCCCAATGGCATCGGGGTCGATTGCAGTGGCGGCGTCGCCCACGACAACGGCAAGTGAGTGGCTACCAAAACAAATCAATAAAGCTCTTCCTGGACAGCTTATTCCTGGACAGGTTGCTAAAGTGCAACCGATCAATCTGTTTACCTAAATGCAGTGCGTCACCCGGATTTCCCCAGCTCCGGAGAATTGCCCAAAAGGTAGAAAAAACATGATTTCGAGAGCGTCCCATTCACAAGTCTTTGCCATTTCAAAACCTGCCAAATGTCGCTGCTATAAGCGACAAAAAAACCATAAAATATAAACAAGCCAAATCTGGTAGGCTTGAGCTCTGAAAGTCAGTCGTTGGATGGACGGCAGAGCGGAGTGTCATTAGCTTGATGGTTTAATTCATAAATTCTGCAGACTAACGTCAATAAAACTAATGTGAACTATTAGCTTTCGAGGTAAGGCTTCCGAACCTTGTATTTAGATTGAATTGTCACTGCCGATTCAGTTTCCATAGAAATGTGAACACTCTAACATGCAAGTGCTCGACTTTCGGTATCAATTTCGTTCAACCCCATCTAAATAATGAGTAAAAAGCGCATTGTTCACCGTGTTTGTGTCTAACGTGCTACACTTGAAAAAATTATCACATTCCGTGAGACCCAGCTTCACAGCTTCCGAAAACCATAAAAACAAATAGTAAATTAATCTAAGCTAAAAAGTCGATGCCTCAGATGATAAGAGTTCTGATAAGGCCACAATCTGGCGATAAGAGTGGCTATTCATTGGAACCCTGAGTGGCACTGATAAGACCTTGGAGCAAACATGAATCGAACATACCCAAACAAGCTGGTTGGTTCAGTTGCCTCGCGTCTCCCGTCAGTGTTGCTTACATTTGCTAATTGAAAGCTCGCCCAAAACCTATATATTATGTGTATAGCACATGCTATATAAATTATAAATAAAATTGGCTGCACTTGTGGACCCCAGAAGGTCATTATTTAATAAAGACAATAAGATATGTGATTGAATGCGAAACGAAAAACGAAGCTTTAAGGTACGAGTACTCGAATGGAAATGGCCTCCTCTGGAGTGGTTTGGTTGCAAGATTTTCTCGTAAATTATAGTAGGTGTTAGCCGGGGCAGCAACAAAAATGCATAGTTCAGACATCTCCGCATGGAGGGCAGAGGCATTTTAGTTTTGCTTTTTGTTTTGTGGGACAATTTTCATGGCTTGGACCAGAGAGCACATTGGTTTTTGGTCGCGCCCCATAAATGGGCCGGAATTTGGCATTTTTGCAACGGTGCAATTTACTTTCCCAAGCACACATAAAGCCCTTCTGTCTGCCGGTGTTCTCTCTAGCAGAAAAAAAAAATATATATAGAAACTTTGGAGTGGAATAGGTTAGGTATGTGTATACCTACATATTTGTGTGTTCATCCCGGCAGTTTTTGCCATTACCGTGAAGCCACGACTCCTATACACATATATGGAAAGTGTGCTGCCGGCGTCCTTTCGTTGCTCTCAGAAATGGATTTATTAAACAACTACAAATTACTGGAGCTTTACCGCTAAAGCATATGTGTTTTTTTGCATACATTATTCGCTTTTATTTCTTGCCTTGCAGGACCCGCAACAAGTTAACCAGGACTGAAAGGACCATTAATGCGACGATGGTTCAGAGGCTTCTGCATCGTCTCAACTGCAGTCCTTTGGTGGTTTTTGTTCTGCTCCTAATTGATCACCGCCTGCTTTCTGTGGACTCCAGCTTTCAAGTCCTCACGGAGCCCAACGATGGCAAATCCGCGGAATTCAATATCCAGGAGCTAATCGATGTGATGAAGGTACTGGAGGATGAGGAAATTGTTGTGCGATTGCCTTCGAACTCACTGCTCAAGTACACATCTTACAAGGATGTTTCCATTTTGCACTTCGATGTACCGCCCGATACTCGGACAGCTTATTTTACCTTTAAGGCTTTCGAAGATTCAAAAAGTGCCTTTCGTAAGTATCCGCCATAAAAAAAGATAGACTTGGTAGCATTAAATTGTATTTATTTTATAGAAAGAAAGTGTAAACCCAAAGATGTAACGCTGCATCTGAAGGCTGGCAGCTTTCCAGTGATAAGTCCGGAAAATATTACATTTCCCAAGAACTTTTTTAGCTCTGATCAAAGGTAACCTATAGATGCTTTCATTGAAACAAAGTTGGATTGGACTTAATATTTTTTATTTTTGCAGATTCAAAGTATATGATTTGCAGTTCCTTTCAAATGAGAAACAACAACGTATTACCATCCAAGGGCCGCACATTGGAAGCTGGTTTGCGGTGGCCTTTGTGAGCTGGTCGGATCCCAATAATGATCGAATTGAACAGCAAGGTAAACAAGAACAATACATAACATGTAATAATTATGTATCTAAATTATCTGATTATGTCCTTTAGGAATCGCAGCCAACTGTGACACTTTGCTTTTTGCCGAAATGTCGGTTTCCCGCTTCCGTCCGATAATCATAAACAATGCTGAAGAGCACCAGGACAATTTAACGAGCCATGTCCTGCCCGATGGCAACACAACTGTTAGCAAAGGACTCAACGCAACGTCCAGACCCCTGCGCTCCCTGCCGCCCAAACAAAAGCAAAAACAGTCAGTGGAAATCTTATCTGATGACAGTAGTGGAAAATCCGGCAGAATTCAAAACTCTACAGGGTCGGAAAGCCGCAGCAACAGCAATAGCAGCAGCATCAGCAACAACACGACACCACTGACCGCAAACAATGAAATCGTTTACAGATTCTATATACCCGAGGAAATCGGGGATGCCATGGCCCGGATCACATTCGAGCAAGTGTGCGCCGACTGTCCGGCCGTGGGATTCCATGTCCGGGCGAATGGATACCCGATGGGCGGTCTGGGTCACGGCTCCATCATCCGGGTAAATCAGACGGACGAAATCTCAATTCCGTTCGGCGTGCAACCCAACACATGGCACTACGCCGCTATGAGTTTTGTGGCCGATGATGAATCGCAAATAGTGAGTGGCAATCACAGCATATCGTATGCCCTGAAAATCGATTTCCTTGCCCCGGAGGAACAGGACGATGAGCCAACAAATGGCTCCACTACCAATCCCTGGAAGCCCACAAAGTTCCGCCAAATGAATTTCTATTCGCTGCTGCGGCAAACGTATCGCGAGTTCTTCATGTTCGACTACGATCTCCGGCCGGATGCCAACGGCACAGTGCCGGAAGTCCTCAATCTCACGGCTCAGACCCATTCAGGCTTTGCCTTTGACTTGGGCGACGTGTCCGACATCGGTGGAACTCTCACCTTTGCCCTCTCCATGAAGGAAGCCCATCGGAACAGCTTGAAGATGATCGCACTGCCCACCCAGTCGCCAGATTTGGGAGGCATTCTCGCCGAACGGCTTATAGGAGATCCCAAGGAAGCAGTTGTCCCGCCTGTTAAGACCCCGGACTCCAGATCTAATAACCAGAGTATGCAGATTATCGTTTGTATGCATTTGGGTGAGCCCGGGGTGCCTACTTGGCCGGATAAGTGCCGCTACGGGTTGCGATTAAAGCCCGCATCTGCGATTGTGAATCATACAGAGACTATGGGTCTGGTGCATGTTCCTTTTCCCGAAAGTGGACGATGGTGAGTTGAGAATCGTATCACAACTATAGCTTATCTCATGGAATGTAATCCCCTTTCCTCCTACAGGTATGTGACCATGGGCCTATTTTGTCATGGAGCGGAAACGGCTAGAGTCGCCATCGTAGAGATCGTCAAGGAGTTCATTAGCAAGCACCGTCAAGTCCTGCGGGAGATGCGACCGAGTTGTGGTTGTGCCACCAAAGCTCCTCGCTACTCCGAATGCTTGGCAGCCCCCGATTGCCTGGCCAAGATGAACGAATCCGAAGCCCTCGAGATAAAAGAGTGCATGATGGACTGCGCAGTGGAGTCCACCAAGATGACGCAACGGTTTGAGGAGCACCGCCGAGCGGCGATGGAGCAGCACGTGGCCCTGGACAACTGCAACACCTCGGTGGTGTTCACGGTGTCCTCCAGTCCTTGTGTGGTAGGAAGGTGTGGTCGTTTTGGTAGATGCTACCACTACATGTCCGGCGGCTTTGTCTTCTCCACCTGCGTCTGCTCGAAGGGATACAGAGGCTGGGACTGCACAGAAGACTCGCAGGTGCCCACCAACATGTCCATCCTGGTGGCCACGCTGCTTCTGACCCTGAGCAACCTGCTCTTCTTCCCCAGCATTTACATGGCGATCAAGAGGCGCTACTTCACCGAGGGCGTCATCTACTTTTTTGCCATGTTCTTTTCCATATTCTACCACGCCTGCGATGCCGGCGAGGATGACTATAGTTTCTGCCTGGTGAAGATCGGGGTGCTGCAGTTCTGCGACTTCTACTGCGGCCTGCTGAGCATCTGGGTTACCTTGGTGGCCATGGCCCATGTCCGGTCGGAGCTGGTCTCCCTCCTGCACATGTTCGGAGCCATCCTTCTGGCCTTCGGCACGGAGCTAAACAAGCAGAGTCTATGGGTCTTCCTCGCGCCGGCCCTCACCGGAATCTGCCTTATCTCCACCAGCTGGGGCCTGCGCTGCGCCAAGAGCCGGAAGCTGTTCCCTGCAAGGAGATACCTCTCCGTTTGGCTGCCCTTTGGTCTGACCCTTGTCATAGCCGGACTGGTGTGCTACGCATTCCTGCAAACTAAGCAGAACTACCACATCGTCCACTCCATCTGGCACATGGTCATGGCACTGAGCATCCTGTGCCTGCTGCCCTCGCGCAAGTCGTTTCTGCCAAAGTGCTAGCACGCGGAGTTTGATTCCCATGGCCGGGAGCTTCTGCTGGCTGAGCAGGAGTTCTACATGTGAGATCATCGACTTCGTACTACTTTCCTCATCGGACAACATTACAGGACCTAGAATATAGCGTATAGCTTTCATTTTGTAAATAGTAACTATCCAAAGATAAGTTGGAATTGAATCAACTAAGCACTGAATGTTCACTAAGCGGAATGCACGGAGTCTATTTAGAACAAAAGAACCTATTCTTTAGCCAATGTATCTGCATCTTCTAAGAGTGCAAGCATTACCTACTACGAATCTGTTTTACATTTAGAAACTATTCAAAAAGCCTTACTAAACTTAATGGAGTGCACGCATGGAAATGTGTTTTAAATAATTTGATGTGTACATAATATCTTGTTGTTAGATAAATCGCATACTATAAGGTTAGTTCATAACTAGGTCATACTCCATAAACACTATCGCACTTATTAAATACAAAAAAATAGCAATTTAATAATAAAATATATGTTTAAAACTGATAAACAAGATGGAAGAAAGTGGTTTTATTAATAGTTTTATTGACCAATAAGTTAAGTCATATTTTAGAATCTTTTATAGTTTTATTGACTATTTCTGTGCATCATTTTTACATATTATCTATACTCTAAAACTTCGCTCTATATTCTATCGTACACTTCCTGATCCATATCGGATTTCCCGCTCAAATTGTTCGGCTTTCAGTGTCCCATCTATGCTTTCGCAATTTTTGTTGAAAACGCTGTAGGCGCTCATCTCGTTCCGTTTCTTAGGACCCGTCCGGGTGTTGAAATAGATCGCAAACAGAGCCGAAAACATGAGGTAGACCAAGCCAAACTTTAGCTCAATGGCTATCACATAAACGGTTACCCAAAACAGAAAGTAAACAAACCAAAGGATGTACTTTAGGGTATTGTTTTCCTTGAAGTGATGATCTGTGGATGCGGATGCGGTAGTATCTTCTTCAGGCAGCAGTTCATTTTCACTGGAGAATGCTGTCTCGTCATCTGATATTTTTTCTAAGCTTTTTGTAGTAGAGGCTGGGTCCTAAAATACCAAACAAAAAGGTAAATAGCTAACGATCTTTAAGATACTAATAGAATCTTGTGACACTTACCTGTTGTACCTCGATTGTTGTATCTTTATTCGCCCCGGTGCCCAACATCCAGAATCTTCGCAGCTTGTCCTTGAAATTATTTACCGTTTCCTGCCGCTTTTTCTGGAGGCGATATTGTCGCAACTGTTCTTGAAAATCAGCCATCAATTTTAGCTTGCAAGTATTTTGATCAAAATATAAACATAAGGAAACTGAGACGCGTCAACAACTAAAATAAGTCAGATGTTGAGATATCGATATATTAAAGTCAGCTGTTAACTATCGATACATTTAGGGAAATATTAGGGGTATTTATAAAAACCCTACTGTTATTTTACCTTTTTAAAAGTTTGAAAAAACTTTATGCGTTTTTTAAACTTCCTCAACTTTCAATACAAAAAAATGTGTTGGTCTGCCAAAAAAAGATTTTTTTTAAATAAAACAATCTATCTTGCTAAATTTTAACCGGGTATGCATTTTTAGAAATGTTCCCAAATATATTCAACGGGTTCAAGGCGTTGAATCGCGAACAGCTTTTTAAATAATTGGAAAGCATTTCCAAGAAAATATTCTTGCCCTAGTTTAACCAAACGATTGGCCATATGGAGCTCCTTAGGTTATAAATTATGTTGCTTAAAGGTGTAATTATTTTTTATATGTAGAATATCAACTTCCTCACCTAAAAACAAACAGATATGTCGACATACGCCACCAGATTTATGTCAGTAATCTAGTGGTAGCATTCCATTTTCACACTTTTTATTGTTATAAACGTTAGAACGTAAACATAAATATTTTTTATGAAACAGTGGTTGCTACCGTTAGTGATTAAAGTAATCAACAATTATTGCCCAAGACATTCACTCTTTAACACAAGGTGTTTACTTTGGAGGGTAATAACAAAAAGGTTTAAAAATTTAGATAAGTTTAATTTTAACTTTTGAAGCTCTAAAAATATATAAATTATTTAAAGTGTAAGGTGAAGCAAATATATTCAAAAAGATAAATATGTTTCGTTTATAATATGAATAAGGATTACTTTGTAGAAAATACAATAATTTAAACCGGTAAAACCCTGGAATTTTGTTAAACAGTATTACTCGCATTTTTATATGAGTAGTAGATAGTGACTTCCACCTGGAACTCTGGGTGAAGATGAATGACGACCACCTTTGCATTATTTGCTCTAATGAATTGGAAAAAAACAGAATAAGCGAGGCACTCGGGTGGGAGTACGGGGCCGTTCTTCTTTCAGATTCAGCAGACGGACCCAGTGAGTGATACACATTTGATAAATAAACATAATATCATCTAGACCCTCAATTATCTTTATTGTTCCCCCTGATAACCCAACCTCTAGGGGCGTCCTCTGGCACTCCAATAAAGTTCTGCCACTGCTTTTATACCCACATCCGAGCGGAATGCGGTTCAGTTTTAGTTTGTCGCAGGTTCGGGAATGCCACAAAAGTTAAAAGTCAATCCTAGAGATCAAAATGACTTCGGAACAAAGCCAACAAGACGTTGAGGCAAAAACAAACACGGTTGCCACAAAACATGAAAGTGGAGATCGGAGTGCTGGTCACGAATACGAGGATGTGCTTCAACTGATCGGTAGTGCAAGAATCCTTTCAGAACAAGAGTTCCTAAGTAATTAAAAATAAATATATATTCCGAATTCAGGATTTGGGCGTGTGCAATGGATTGTCCTTCTGGCGGCAGGACTCCTCCTGATGATGGTCATAAACGAGACCATGGGCATGTCCTATATAACCATTGTTTCCCAGTGTGATTTTGAAATGAATTCAAAAGATAAAGCCATTATGAGTGCTGCCAGTTTTATCGGTGAGTGCGCAGTTTTTCTATTTCAAGTTTCATGTTCACGTGAAATAAATTGTTCTCTAGATAAATAGTTAATCTAGATAGTTAAATCTTTATCTTACACGTTTTCCTAGTTGTATATTTTATGCGTGAATTTTTTACACATTTCAGGAATATTCTGTTCCTCATATTTTTGGGGATATTTGAGTGACACTGTAGGGCGGAGGCCGGTTTTGATTTATACAACTATTGCTGGAAATGTCCTATCATTGTGCTCTATATTTATTCCAAACTATTGGTTCTACGTCTTTCTACGTTTTGGTGTAGGATTCTTGTAAGTATTGACTTAATTGTATCAGAGTGCAACGTGACTTTAAAGTGTAAACTTATTAAATATGATTCTATAAAGAAGTGCTATCATGAACTAATATTGAAGATAATGCTATTGACAAAAAATTCCGGTTTTATTTTAATGTCTTATTTGCTTAAACAGCATTGCTGGAGCCTCCTCCACCACTTATGCGTACTTGGGAGAATTCTTTACTCCCCGCCATCGTCCAATTGCCATAAACTACGCCAGTCTTTTTGTGGGAATCTCCACGGTTTATGTGCCAGGTAATTAACGATATTAAAAGTTTATATAATGTTAAATGCTAACAAAACATTCTTTTCAGCCACTGCCTGGCTGGTTCTATCCATGGATTGGAGTATAAGTGTGACGGATGACTTTGCCTTCCGTCCATGGAGACTTCTAACCATTTGCTACATGCTCCCCGGTGTCATTGGAACTTTAATGCTTTGGACTTTACCGGAAAGTCCCAAGATTCTTTTGTCCTTACACAAAACTGAAGAGGCGTTCTCTGTTGTGGATTGGATTGCAGTAAAGAACTCTGGAAAACATTTGCATGAGTTCAAAGTACAAAAACTTAAAACCGAAGTCTGTGCTGATGGGGAAAATATCCTACTAATATCTAAATCAGCGTAGGTTCATTTCTTTTAATACCTTGACTTTAAAAATAATCGATTAAACCCTAGTTCAGCAACCATAAAGAAAATGTGGAAGGAAACACTACCACTTCTAAAAAGACCACATCTGGTTAACTTTGTCATAAGTTGCACAATCATGTGTGGCCTATTTTTCAGGTAATATCTTAAATATATTAAGGATTCTCGGGTCTTACGATAATGTATTCCATCTATAGTTCTTCTGGTATGGGTCTTTGGTATCCAGAGATTCAAAATCGTTTAGGTTCTTCTGACTCCCACAATTTGACAGTCTGCAATGTTATAGATGCCTCCATTGATCAGATGCAAGCCAATCAGACTAACAAAGTAACTATACTTATATTAATCTTAATAATTTAATGCTCAAACCAAATGCTTCTTAGGTATGCGATGATCACATAAACACTAAGAGCTACGTAGATACAATCACCTATGGAACTGCCCTTATTGTGGGATATATCCTAATGGGCCTCGTTATCAACAAAATTGGTCGAAAGGCTTCTATTTTCCTTGGCCTTACCTTCGCTGGAGCCTGTGCCATAGCCCTAATTTGGATCAAAGACGATGTAGCTATTGTGATAGCTTTCTGCTTGTATCTGGTTCTTCCGGGACTTTGCATCTCGATCCTGAGTGGAGCTGTAGTCGATCTTGTTCCGACTCATCTCCGTGGAAAGGCAGTATGTATTTGTCTGATGCTCGGAAGAACAGGAAGCGTATTTGGTAGCAACATTATTGGAGTACTACTGGACGCCTATTGCACTGCCACATTCGGGGTTTTCTCTGGATTTGTTTTAGGTTGGTAGATGAACATTATTTTTCACATAAACCTTATTTACATCTTACTTTTTTACAGTTTGCGCCTTATTGACGTTGATACTGCCTATTTGAGATTGTTATGTATTTATAAATAATTTAGTTTAATTTATATTTAATTATAATTTAGAATTAACTTAATAATTTCTTGTTAATATGAATAAACAGTATTCAACTTGTTAAACCTAAGACAATTACGTTGTTCTCTTTTTTAAGATTTTGAGGCAACATTTTTTTTGATTCCACAACTTGTGAAGAAAACAACATAAAAAGACGTAAAGTATAAAAGACTGCATTTCATTTTTTATAGCCTAGATTGCATTTTCATGGGCAGCCAAGTATAACCATCTTATGAAAACCATTAGTATTGTGCTTTGCAATTGTTTACACCAGTCTTTTTGGGATGTTTCATTTTCATAATTTGTCAACAAGTTTCCTAATTAAAAGATCACCCCCACTGTACTTTTTCGGTTTAAGCAGAACATTGTCCCTTCTACTGCTAACCAGTTTGCAAATAAAATCGAATTCATTGATGTTGTTAAACTCTCAGCACATTGTTCTAAATTGAAACAAATCCCCAAATGGCTTTTCTCAAAACGGGTTTGTTGTGGTTTTCACATGTAGAACTGAGAGCATTCTCGAGTAGCTTATTAGAATACAATGCTTAAAGCCAGGTGCTGCACCAGCTTACTGACCAGTCAGTTGTCAAGTATCCGAAGAATCTCAAGATGCACAGCTCGCTGGAAAGCAACACCCCCAATGTGTGGGACTATGATACGATATTGGAAAAGATTGGTGAGCACATACCATTCGGATGTTTACACTTCTTCAAGAATAATTTCAATTTTAGGGTATGGAAAAACCCAATGGATACTATTGATTGTGAGTGGTTTGCTGACAATCACTTCGGTTGCCGCCCAACAAGCCATGAGTATCATTGTCATTGCCTCTCAATGCGAATTCGAAACCACACAGGCTGAAAAAGGCGTGATGATGGCTGCCAGTGTTACAGGTGAGAATCGTGAATCGAGTCGGCATCTCACACAGCTAACAATGGAATATTTTAATGCTTGCCCAGGTATTTTCTTATCAACCTATATATGGGGCTACATCAGCGATGATATAGGGCGTCGCAAAGTCTTACTTTATGGCATTTTCGCCTCGAATGCCCTTCAGTTTATTCTCATGTTTGTTACAAGCGTTTGGCTATTCAACATTATCAATCTTCTGGTTGGAATTAGGTGAGTGCAAACACACATCTGTGTACAATGTAATATCCAGTAGATCCGAGTAATGACTATTATTTAGTATGGGAGGCGTATCAGCAGCACTCTATGCATATTTGAGTGAATTCAATATTCCCCGCCACAGGGCAGTGGCAATTAATTACTCCACAATGTTTGTGAGTGTGACTGCAATTTATGTACCAGGTATTTATAGTCCTGTCGTTGTCCCTAAAAAAATACCTCAAATTTTTATTTTAGCTACTGCCTGGCTGGTACTCTCCTCCGATTGGTCAATCACTGTGGGGAACTTCGTTTTCCTGCCCTGGAGATTAATCCTTTTTGTCAGCTTACTACCAGGACTAATTGGCGGCTTGGTTTTGTTATATTATCCTGAAAGCCCCAAGTTTCTGCTTTCACAAAATAAAGACCAAGAGGCTGTGGAAGCTGTGGGTTGGATTAGTAAATTCAATCGAGGAAAACCGATACAGAATATCCTTAATTGCGATGAAATTGTACTTAAGTCGGAAGACCCTGCTGGTGAGAACATACTGGCCGATAACCAAGGTTGTGGCATTGGAATACTCTCCAAGATAGCCCGGGCTACGGTTCCACTTTTTTACAAGCCTCATGGCTTTAATTTTATTCTCTGTAATTTGGTAATGTTTGGCATGTTTTTTAGGTAAGAAAAATTACTACAATCTCATTTATCCAAGGCAATTTAAGGTAATACTTTTATTTTCAGCTCAAACGGCATGCAACTTTGGTTTCCGGAAATTGTGAATCGTTCATCTGGCGCAGAAAACAATACGTCTACAGTTTGCGAAATTCTTAGTGTACCCGTGGAAAAGCCTGACAATATTACAGAAGAATTGGTAGTATATTATAAAACGTAATACCAATCTTCTCCTATTCTTAAATTTGTTTAAATTACAGGAATGCACAGCTACTATATCCAGCAAAACTTACATCGATAACATAATTGTTGGCGTTGCATTTTTAATTGGCTTTTCTATTCAGGGAACTTTGCTGAATCCTTTGGGCCGAAAGAATGTTCTCGTGGCAGCCATTGTGGTTTCCGTGTTGAGTGGAATATTTTTGCATTTTCTTGCCAATCCTACAGGTGTCCTTATTGCCTTCTGCCTCTACATACTTTTGCCGGGACTTTCGATTTCAATCATGATTGGCGCCATTGTGGACTTGGTGCCCACGCATTTGAGGTATAAAAAGGTTTTTAAATTTTTTTAAATCTACAAGTATAATTATATTTTCTCCTAAAGATCTAAGGCTGTTAGCTTTTGCATGTCCTTGGGAAGACTTGGAATCATTGCTGCTACTAATTTAATGGGAGTGATGCTGCAACCATATTGTAACACCACTTTTGCGATTTTTACTTGTACGCTAGTGGGTAAGCATTAATGATTGGATTTCTATAGAAAGTACATTTTTTGATAACTTTTATTTTTTTATTGCAGTGTGCTTGATTATTGTTCATTATCTCCCTATACGGAACTCAGCCTAATAATTTTCCTTCGTTTTTCAAAAATATGTAAATAAATCACTCTTATTTGAAATTAGTAATTTCAGTCACCGTTAATGAGAACTAATGCTTCTTTATAGTGTTATAATATTTTTTTTATTTCTTTTTTAATTATTTTTTTTTACTGACAGTTTGCCTTTTCTTTTGAGGATCTATTCCTCCTCTTCTTCCTCCTCCTCCTCATCATCTTCGAGGGCTTCCTCGTCGTAGCTGTTGCCACCAGTGGGTGCTTCCTCAGCATTTGAGCTGAGCTCGATCACCGGCTCCTGTTCTTCCAGAGGCGTTACAGGCTCTTCGACCAGGGGTTCAGGATTCTCCTCGTTGTCATTCTTCTGAATGGCTTGGAGTTCCTGGGCCGCCAGCTCGGCTTCCTGGCGGGCAATCTCGGCCAGCTCGGCAGCCTGACGGGCCAGTTCGCTATCGGCTTCCTTCTCGATTTCCGCCAAGCGCTCCAGCTCCTGTTCGCGCTGACGCTGCTCCTCTGCCAGACGAGTCTCCTCCTGGGCACGGGCCTCCTCCTCGGCAGCCTGTTGGGCAGCAGCTTCTTCAGCGGCCTTCAGGGCAGCAGCCTCCTCGGCGGCTTTCTGGGCAGCAGCTTCTTCGGCAGCCTTCAGAGCAGCTTCCTCGGCAGCTTTTTGGGCAGCTTCTTCGGCTAGACGAGCCTCTTCAGCGGCTTTCTGAGCAGCTTCTTCGGCTGCTTTCTGGGCAGCTTCTTCGGCAGCTTTTTGGGCAGCCTCCTCGGCGGCCTTTTGTGCAGCAGCCTCCTCAGCGGCCTTCTGTGCAGCCTCTTCTGCGGCCTTCTGGGCAGCCTCCTCGGCGGCCTTTTGGGCAACAGCCTCATCGGCGGCCTTCTGGGCAGCTTCCTCGGCGGCTTTCTGGGCAGCTTCTTCAGCAGCCTTCTTGGCCTTTGCAGCAGCCTGCTTTTCGGCCTCAGCGGTCAAGCGATCGCGTTCCTCCTTCAGAGCTCTAAAAATCCATTTAAATATATTTTAGAGGTTGTAAGGTTTTGTATAAGAATCAGTGCTGCCTTTGTCCTTTTTCCAAAAATTATCTGTCCTTTGTGGTCCGTTTAATTCTAGTAGCACAATTTTCTAGTAGCACAAACAAATAGTCAAATTCTTTTCAAAATTAAAGCCTTTTAAATTACATTAGTTCTATGAATTTAATTTAATAAAAAATTTAATAAAAAAATCTCTATCTTCAAGTTCATTTAACGATGATAAATATATACAAATTTTATTATTAATTTAAATTGAAATTTATTATGAAAAAGAAGGCTGAACTGTTGATGCAAAAGAATGGTTTTTTGACCGGTAGAAAATTTGTATGAAAACATGATTATATAAAAATATGTCTTTGTCTTTTCTTGTTATTTGTTGTGTACTGTTTTTAGTCAATTTTTTTTAAGTATTCTTTTATTTTTGGTAATGGCAGTTGGCAGCACTGACTGGCACTGGCACTGCTTACTTCTCTTCACGACGCTTGGCCTCATCAGCTTTCTGGGCACGCTTCTTCTCCAAGTCCACCTCATCGAGGGCCTCCTCGTTGACGGTCAGGAGACGCTCCTGGCGCAGGCGCTGCTTCTCCTTCGATTCGAGATCGACGGGATCCTCCAGGGGCCTAGGAGCAGAAAATTTTCTAGACGGACGGTTAGGATCCAACTCGGCATCTGAAATGTAAAGCTTGTCATGAACTCCACAACCACTCTGCATTTGTTGCTTGTTTTCTCTGTGGAACATTTATCCTTAACCTCGTTGATCTTTCGTATATTTACTTTTTAAATTACTGTGTAAGACTAATACTTACTATTCCGGACGGCGAGTGGAGTGGTGGGTTGGTTTTAGACGAGGCAAGGTAAAATTGCAGTTCAGAAGACGCCAATGGTTTTAGAGTATTGTGTGGCATTAATGGGGATTTTTTTTTGTATTTTTATTTCGGTTCGGGGTGTGAAGAATTAACCAAAATGTAGTTAATGGGTTAAGCATACATACATATATACATCTCAAAATGCAAAATTGTACATAAATCAAGCTGAGGTTGCGAGATTCGGAATTGTGTGTATTTGTTCTGAATTTTAAAGTTTTTGTTTTCAAAAATGTTATTTACAAACTATCAGATCTCTTTTTGTAGTGTCTTCAAGGTAAATCTTTGCTGGAATCACTTCGTTGCTAAAAAATTATACCAACCCATCCTAAAAACCGCTGCAGATTCCCCATAAAAAAGATTCGTTTTAGATCAGTATTTACAAATTAATATATTGATACATATATGGTAAGTAAATATCCCTAGAAGTGAGTTTACATATGCTTGAACATAACATTTATTAACAAATTTCTCGCTGACGTTCGTATCTTAAATGCCAAAAAAAAAGTATGCAAATGAATTCAATAAATATTATTTAACAATTATGAACATAAATTTAAATGTCAGCTTTGACGGGCTTTATATATTTTACTTAAGTTAAAACAAATCGAAAGATGAAGGAGTATCTACATTTGGGTAAGTCACATGAAAAATGTTAGTATCACAAGTGATGCGCTGAATTTATTGTATTGAATTTCTTTTCGATCGATTTTAAGCTTTTCTGATCTGATCTGATCTGTGTGAATATTAGTCTGAGTAGTGAAAGCGCCAGAGTGGGTCGATATCATTTGTTCTTCTTGTAGATATCGACTAATTGTCTACCACGCAAAAGAAAGTCTTTTAGATTGGTTTATTTAAGAAATAGAAGTGTATGTCCATACAAAAATCAGGCATGTTATCATTTAGGCCTCAACTTCAACAGCTTCAACTGGAAAGAATCAATCAATCATAAAACGTATAACGTTAGTGAAATACAATGAACGGAACAAATCAGGATGCAGCAACCAAATATGTACGTTAGTTACAAATGAATAAATTAAATCAACTTCTGGAGCACCAGTATAGAAGATATCGAAAATATTTTCTTAATTATTTCTTATTAAGATATTCAGGGAGGTATTCATTTATGGGAACATAAAAAATAAAAGGTGCTTGATATTATAGAAAACCTACTCCGTTGTTGTAATAATTCATAATGCAAGGTTAAATATGAATTCATTGACTTGAAATAAAGATGAAGAATATATTTATGGGATACGATAACATGGACGATGTCTATTACAAAAAAAAACGGAGTAGTTGTGGAAGAGATAGTGACTTACAATCTTTACTTTAATCCTTTTCAATTCTAACAAACTAATATAAATATTTAGGAGCAGAAATAATTTGACGAGAAAATTTTCAAGACAAGAAAAATTTTTTTTTTGACTGGCAATAGTATTTTGGCGGCAACATCGAAAACATATATGCTTGAATGATATTTATATACAGGTGTCATTTTCAAGCGTCATGTAACTGAAGTAACAGGACTTACCTTCCTTCTGAGAAACAGTGGATTGCTTATCACTCTTCCAAGTGGGATGTCTAAGGTACCAGGACAAGAGGTTAATATCAGTTCGAACTTTGTCCGAATCGTACATTGGCCTTCTAATATTATAGGCCTTGTCACCGCAAATCCTTACTGATGCAAGATGACTTTTACCTTTTATTGTTTAATTATTTAAAAGATAGGTATTTAATAACTATAGTTCACTAGGCAATAAATTATGATGTTTAACCACAGTTGTGAACGGAATGCAACAATCGCACATCTGACTACATGAAATGAGGGACTTACCAACATATTTAACAGCTGGCCGAGGGTAGTGCGAAATGTTGTGAACCTCCTTGGCAACATGGCGAACTGGGTTTGTGACACGGGCCACATAGGCATCAAGAGCCAATTGCGAAGTTGGGGCATAATCGTAACTATAAGCAAGACATTTTACTTAAAAATATATTCTAAAAATTTGTATATTTGAAAACTACTGCCTAGATGACAATTTAATTTGTTTTCTTATTTTAATTCTGAGAATTCTATTGGTTACACATGGCGTATGAGTAATTTATATGCATACATATTACTCATACGTCATGTGGGCCAAGAAATATTTGTCTGGCTGTAATTTTTATGGTGCATGTCAAAATAGTGCATGCATAATAAACTTTAAAATTATTTCACACGTAATTAAATCTTTTTATATGAATAATTCAAGATTTTTGCAACCTCTTGGCATACATGCACAAAAGTATGCTATAAAACAACTTAAAAATGCCAACATTCTTATTAACAACATAATTTGAGGAACATTTTTTTATAAACCCAAAATAATAGACTATTAGTTACTTACCCAGTGACTGGGAAAGGAGTGCAGCTGCGTGCGCGGCGAACCACAGGAGTATGCAAGTCACGAATCAGGGACTGCGCGCGGTTGCGAATCCGGCTAGTTTCCTCAGAGAAGGTCTGGAATTTGGACGGCATTTTAGTATGCTAGCCAGGACCTCTTCAATATCAGTTTCCAAAACAGGCACAAAGCACTGAACAAATAATGCGAAGCTACGGCAGCCTTTTAAAAGGTGGACCAACTTACGGTGAAGGGTTCGGTATTGAGGTAATTGGTTAGGGCCCGGGCGCCATAGCCAGGCGGCAGCCTCTTCAGGTACGAGGGCACGGCACGGACCGGGGTACGGGTGATCCTAACCGGGGAGGTGGTGATCCTCACCGGAGATACCGAACGAGCGTACACCCGGGTGATCGTAGTTGGGTTGTAGTGGTACGACGGCGTGTAAGTAGTGTACGATGTCGGGGTCAAGGTCGAAGTGTAGTAGCTCGATGGCAGAATTGTGGGGCTATAGTAGGTCGATGGCGTGGTGTAGGAGTACGAGGTGGTGCGCTCCGGCGATGAAATCACTCGGGTCGTCGTGCGGACAACGCGAACCGGCGATGGAGAGTGTATGACGCGGGACACCACGCGGGCGGGAGAGGTTACAACTCGGATGGGCGAAGTAATGACCCGGGTGCCACCATACCTGGGCACCGAGTAGCTCGAGTAGATGGGGTAACTCGACTTGTACACCTATTTTTGCGGATGTTTTCAAAAATTAACAAACAACTCTTGAATGGCCAAGGCATGGAATGAGTTTGAAACTAGAATTTTTAGAATGAGAAAGCCATGGAAGGAAATAATAGTTTATCAAAAAACAATGAGAAACAAATAAAAGTTGAACTTCTCAGTAAATGAGATTTTTAATTATGGTCTTTAAATGGATTTTGTGTTTTTTTTTTTTTTTTAATTTCTTTTACTAATAAATTTATTGGAGAGGTTCTTATTAATTTTGATATGAAAAAAGTAATTTAACTCACTAATAAATAAAACTACTTAATGAGAAGAAGGCTTACTACTAACCGAGAAGACTTCCAGTGATGGTGATGTGATTTTTGGTGAAGTGATTGAACAGTGTGATAATAGTCAATAGAAAAGAATAGTGAACCATAGAAAAATGGATGACGAGCGATTATGTATGGCAATAAAATGAAAAGCAAATACTCACTCGAGTCACTTTCGAGACAGTCGGGTACTGCAATTAATACAAAATAACGCATTTGATTTTCTGTTCAAACCCAATTATGATATCTTGACAAAACGGTTTCATTCACCTTTTTTTTATCTAAAAGTTATCTTGCTACAATGTGTCTTCAGAATGAATATCGTATCTGTTTTTGTTTTTCTTATTGAGAATTCAACCAAAGTATAATGAATAAGTTTTTTATTTTTTTGAGATAAGACCGTGTTTATTTTATTGTATCACAAATATGTTTTAACATGACTGCTTGAAGGTTGGCGAATACGTAGAAATATCGTTGCTGCAGTAAATCTAGTCTGTATGCGAAACTATTTGGTCATTAGTGGGGATTAGTCCAAGTCAAAACATTTACATCATTTGAATACGAGCATCGAAAACATCATATATAGTACATATAGGCACTCAAGGTTAGCGGGTTAAGTGGATTATTGAAATAAATAAATATATATACGTATATATATTCGAAACAATGACGTATTAGTATCGGGCACACCATAACACATAGCTAGAGCAGCTCCTAAACGTGGTAGGAGAAGTGACGGTAGCGGGTTCCGCCCGGCAGGTTGCCGGAAGTGGTCGAGGAATAGCTGTAGCCGCCGGGTCCGGCGCCAGTGGTGCTGGTCCGCTCAGTGCTGTAGTTGTACGAGCCGCCGGGACCGCTGCGCGAGGTCTTCTCGACGGTCGAGGAGTAAGTGGACCGCTCAGGACGGGAGGAGTACGGGTTGCTCGAGTCGTAGCTGCTCTTTTCCACGGACGACTTGGAGGTGTACGAGTAGTCCGAGGAGGCGCGGCTGCGGTGCGAGCCGGGTCTGTCCGTGCACAGGTCTAAGCGTGGAGTCTATAAATTCCGATTTGATATTGATATAGAGAAAATGTTTTTTTTCGCAAGCATCACTTAAAAGGGTATAAGGCGACTGAACTTGCTGCTCCAAGAACTGTATATGCAAAATTAAAACAAAAACGCATTGCGACTCGAAACAAGGGAAATTGAAACATGTTCGAACTGTTTAACTTTAGAGCTTAATGCAACCATCTATGCCAAATTACAATATGTTATGATTCTATGGGATTATGAGAAGTTAGATACAAGGGTACACAGAGAAAAATGCAAAAACAATCATTAATCAATTGCTAGTTAAAAGTTTAAATATAAACGAATATAAATACGTTTTTCTTTATCGAACTTGTATTATTTCTTTGTGTATACATTATAAAAACACAATTTTTAGTGGGTTAACACAAGTTTTTGTATCAACTATGGATATGCTAAAATGTTGGCCTATCATTATTTTTTATTTTTCAGATTTTTTTGAGTGTTTTTTGTTATTGATACTTAAGTGAAATTTTAGTTTCGTTCGGCTAGATTCGATGTGGTTCGGGTTACAGGGTGTATATATATACGTTTTGTGGGTTTTTTAGTTCGCCCTAATAGTAGTATTTGGTGACCATCGCGCCCGATTTTTCGTTGCGGTAGGTCTCCCTGCGCACCGGCAGGCTCTCAGAGACCGCCCGGTGGAGCCGCGGCAGCTGGGTGTCCAGACTGTCGCGGGCGGTACGGGCGGCGGTGTTGCCACCCGCCTCCACGGTGTCGATATGCTGGCGCACCATCGAAAGGATCCGCTCGCGGTTCTTGTCCCGGGTGGACACGTACGGCTCAATCGGCTCGTAGGCCAGCTTGTAGTCGGGTTTGATCGCTGCCCGATTGATCGGGTCGAGGATCGACCGTTTCCTCTGCTCGGCAGCCGGACGCCGCACTCCGAAGGCGGTCACCGGATCGGAGATGAGCGAGGGCCGCGGCACAAAAGGTACTTTCTCCCAGTCAATTGGTGTTCTCTTTGGTCTCTGCAAATCCCAAAATTCCACAGATTTGTTTGTTTTAATTTCTGGGATAGCCATAAATTAGGTGGCTACTTGGTTAAGTTGGTGCAGACAACAACGCTGGCTGGTGGTTTGTGGCATGAGGCTGGGAGCTCATCTATATATATACACGCTCAACTATGGAGTTGAAAAGCCTGGTTGTGGTGCTATGGTGGGGCATTTATATACAGCTGGGTGGGTCAAGCAATAACTCCAATATTCGACAGACCTTAGGTTATGACGCAAACAGCATATCTATATATGTACATTAGATAGGACCTTGGCGTGGCATTACTCATACGCAGTGTTGACCCGTTATCATAGCAAGATGAAAAATTGTCTTTACCAAAGGTCCCCTCTAGGCCACACATACACATATGCAAATTGATACGACGTAGTGTGGTTGTAAGTAATGAGCAATGGGAGCATTAAGTTGGAACACAACAGTAAACATAAATGTATATACAATATTATAATATGTAAGTTAATTTTTAATAAAGCATCTTTGAAATTCACATCTAAGTGAGACATTAAAAAACTTAAGAATGCGAAAATATGTATTCCACACAACAATTAACCAATACGAAAAGTGTCCAGAGACTGCGAGGTGTCTCTTGTGGATATAGCTCTATCTATAAACATATATATCCTTGCTTTGGATTATTATAACACCCATTAATACGCTCGGAGAAAAATGGCTGTTTAGTTATTTTGTATTTTTTCCTCAGCATTTATCTTCCAATTTTCGAAAATCTTGGCATTATTTTATTGTTGGTTTCTGCCATGGCTTCGGTTTATTTGAATATATTATGGAAATCGGAAAGATATTTTTAGGACTAGCGAAGAGCGAAGTGCGCGCGCATATAGTATTACACATACAAAAAGCAAAACCACGGCCCCGTACAAAAGCAAAGCCCCCTATCGAGAGAAATGCGTTTGTATGGGATTCATCGAGAATTCGCATGTGTTTGGAATTCCACTCGCCTGTATATTCTAAACATTTTTGGGCACCAGACGGACCTCAACTTTTTGTAAATAATAATAAAATAGATTCGAATAGAGAAGAAAATTTCGGATGTTCGGCCTCCGCTAAAATCTTAAAATGTGTTCGCCTGATATATGCACATATATTTTGGGGTGATGAGTAAACGCGAATATCCGAAAGAGATATGAAGATCATCGAGCAGCCATAAATTTAGGAAAAAACTGAATTCCCACGACCTCAAGAAAATTGTAATGCCTTCACACTCGCATAATTTTGTCAAATATTTTTAATTAATGGCCTGTTTTTATGGTTAAGCCATGAACACACACAAACGAAACGATATATATATCACATATAGTACAGGTACATACAGGCGTATGTAGAATCTATTATGAAAGCGATTAAATTGTTAGAAATAATGCATGTATGATCTATAACTGAACCTGAAATTTCTAGTATTTTCTCCCTGAACTCTGTCGCTCTGTTTCAGTTTCTGAGACTGTTTCGTTAAAGTATTGTTTTAAACAAGTGGATAAGTTACAATTAATAATTACAAGTTGTTCGATACGATATTCATAATTGGTAGACACGTTTCATTCAAACTTGTTTCAATTTCTTAATTAATCTGTTCGCTTGTCAACATAGAACCGTGGAGTACAGCAAGTGGGACACAAGCGCTTAAAACTGAAATATTTATTTCGACCAAACATTTGATTAGCTAACTGCTTTCAAAAATGTCAAATTTATCCAATGCGTTTTTGAATGTACAAGATTCTTTTTGGGCACAATATTGGGCAATGATAAATTGAGATTTTTTAACTTGGACGCACAGATAGATTTCACAGATTTAAATTAAGGTAAACCACACTACCGTATGTCAAGTGTAACTAAGTGTTTATCCAATCGCTTACCGTAACGGCATAGGAAGTCGTCACCGGCCTCGAGGTGTACGTTCTGCGAGTTGTGAATCCACTTTCGTAAACCATTTTGTTTTTGGTGATTTTGTTCTTAGTAGATGTATTAATGAATTGTTCGTTGGATTTGGTTCGGATTTATCGTCGTTGCGTGTTGTTCACTGGACGCCCGTTCGAGTTGATCTGCCTGAGAATGGCACGGAGCACTTGCTTATAATTTTTTGATTTTCAAAATTTTCACAAGCTTTTCAGTCTCTTTTTCGGTCTCGCTCTCTCACGCTCCGTCCCAGTCAGTTCCTCTTTTTCTATTCATCTCCCAAATAAACTTATTTTTGGAATTAAGAAACATTGACATCTCTCGACGCAAAGAGCAAGCAATTTCTGTTTACATAAAGCCAGCAATTTTCAAATACAAGTATATATCAGGGAAAGCCTATACAAATATATATGTAAATGGCTTGTTTTTTTGCCCAGAGGATAGCCCTTTATTTAAAAAACAATCTATTTCGGGTATTTGTTTCCAGAATATTTGCGATCGTTAGTCATCGTTTATAAATTCCGCCATCAAAACATTAGAGTGGGCGATAGTGTGCAATTGTTTTCATTCTTCATAAAGCCAAAGCATCCGGCCTATAAAGGTGTATTATTTCCTTCCACAATATAGCCACTAATTTGAGTGACATTTCCGATTATGTTTAAAGTTCTTTAAACTTTTCAACATAATTAAAAACATAGAGATCACAGAGTGTTTTATGTTTTCTCTTGCCAGACATACAATTCTATTTATTTACTTTCTCTCACTATTGCTTTCACAATATTATTAATGGACCTTAAAATGAAAATCCTTAGTTTAATTAATATGCCTTGAGAGTCACCTGTGAATCGGACACAGTGGGTCTCACACATACACCCATGTCTGGAAATTAATTATTAAAATAACAAACGTGAAAATAAGATAAAAATAAATTTTGTTTTCCAACGGTTTGAGGCCATGATTACTCATACATACTTACAATATGATGGCGATTGTGTATTTGTGAACATATAAATAAACTGCACATCATCTTCGTATAGCCACCGTATTAAATCGCGTGTGTAGGTGTCTGGCCTGTATATAAAAACAAAAACCATGGCAGAAATTCAAAAAGCAAATTCTTTATGACATTAACCTTAACGAGAGGCAATGAATGACTCGTAATTTCAAGGCTGCCAGAATCATACTAATCGGAGAACAAATATGTCATTGAGAGCTGACTGCAGACAGCCACTAGGACATTCCAAAGAAACGAATATTTTCAAAACTAGTTTAGACCAAATATGATGAAAAGATTTAATGCACATTAGATTTTAACAGCAAATATAAGAGGTCTACATGAAGCGTATACATGAATGAAGCGTCTGATCTCCTTAACACACAGTCTCACTAGTTTTCGACAAGGCTTATAGGGGTATTTTGGGCTTATATAAGAGACATTTAGAATATACAGGAGTTCCACTATTTTCTACTTCTAGTAACTATCTTCTATCAACTATTTCCCTATTGCTTGAGATTCGTTTACTTTTTACAGAAGCCTTGTATTGATCTTGAACTATCTTCTACATCATGCAGGGCGGACAACATGGTGGATAAGGTAAGCAAGGCGTACAAGGGCTGCACAAAGGTCCGTCGTTACAGGGGCAAAAGCATCTGTGAATTGAAAAAGATATGAATTAATAGAAGATAGTGCTTAAAACTCGGAATTGACTCACAATCTGTACATATCCCTTTGCTCCAACTGACATCGCATGACATCGCAGGTACGGACGACACGACATCCTGGCTGATCACGATTTTCGCCGTATCTTCCTACAGACTTGCCATCGTTCTGGCGATTTCCATCCTTCCCTCTTGTGCCACCTTCTCGTCCTTGACTTCCACGTCTACCCCGACTGCCACGATCACTAGAGGCTCGACCTTGGCCAGATTTGCTCTTTCTTCCTGCAGAGTCTCTCTTTTTTTTACCTTCACCTTCACCTTTTTTGGCCTTTGATTCTTTTCCTGCAGCGCCGCTAGCCTTGGCAGCGGCAGCAGCGGCTTTTGCCGCCGCAGCAGCTTCCTTATCGGCAGCGGCCTTGGCCTTAGCTAGCGCCATAACAGCTTCCTTTTCGGCTTTGGCCTTAGCAGCCGCCGCATCCTTGTCGGCTTTTGCTTTGTCTTCTTTAGCCTTCTTATCGGCGGCTTCCTTGGCCTTGGCTGCAGCGTCTGCCTCCTCGCCTTTTCCTTTTTTAGACTTTCTGGCTGCAGGTTCGGAATCTTCGCCTTTGCCTTTTCCAGCCTTCTTGGCAGCCGCGGCAGCGTCTGCATCTGCGTCGTCACCTTTGCCCTTGCCCTTTTCAGCCTTCTTGGGAGCAGCGGCAGCGTCTGCGTCTTCACCTTTGCCTTTGTCTTTTCCAGCCTTTTTGGCTGCGTCGGCTGCATCTCCGCCATCTTTTCCATCCTTGTCTTTTCCCTTACCGCCTTTCTTAGATCCATCGGCATCTTCGTCCCCCTCCTTTGCTCCTTTTCCCTTTCCACCTTTCTTCGCACTATCTCCATCCTCATCCCCATCCTTCCCTTTTCCCTTTCCTTTTCCCTTAGCTTTTCCCGCCTCGCCATCTTCGTCACCATCTTTATCCTTGCCTTTACCCTTTTTGCCCTTTTTGCTTTTGGATCCGTCTTCATCGTCGTCACCAATACCCCCACGCCCTTTGGCCTTCTTTTTCTGCGAATCTCCGCCATCTTCGTCGTCACCTAGACCTTTCTTTCTGGATTTGTTCCATTCTTCAGTGTCCTCGCCGTCGTAGTCACGACCTTTGCCTCTCCGAGATCCATCCGCCCAATCACCGTCTACACCACCTCGGCCTTTGCACTTCTGGTTTCTTTTAGAGACATCTCCGTAATCGTCACCATCTCTTTCACCGCGCCCTCGACTTTTTCGGCACCTTTCGAACGCGTCCGTGTATTTATTCCTGCCGTCACCGTATTGTAGGTATGCATCTGTAAGATAATCACTTATATTAGATTTCTAGTTAATGACTTGAAGTAACCTCTTTGTTCTCCAATCAGTTGCTTTAAGTTTGTGCTATTTCCACCATCAAATACTGAATACTGTTCCCGACACCGCTGTCGATTGCAGTTTTTGACTATCTTATGGCATATCCTCTTGAGTATTGCATAGGTATGATCGTTCAAAAAGTTTGATTTACAGCACCGATTACATCTGCATGGGCTACAAGGATTTTCAATGTCACAGAATATTTTCGTCGAACTTGAGGAACTATTTAAAACCAATGGATTTCTAGTTATAAGGATCTCAAATTTGAACACACATACATACCTAGACGCTGGATTGCAGCAGATGTACTCTAAGTCTATGCCCATTATTTTATAATATGCATTTTTTCCAAACAGATAATTTTGATTGTAGAATTTTGGCTCGAAATGTAGATCCCGAAAACTGACGTTCAACGCCTAGGGATAAGACTTGAGAACTGAATTGTAAATGTTTTCATGGTTCCGGCTTTTTATGTTAAAATCAACCACCAAGGAGATAAAATGATAAGAAACATAGAAGTTAATAATTAAATTTTAAAATCCACTTGCAAAAAAAGAAATCAAAGATTCTGCAATATTCGAATCTGTAATTCTACTCATCACATTCGTAGATTTCGTAGACACATTAGCCCTTAATTTTATTTCAATCTATAACTTTATTTCTAACCTAAAAAGATCAAAATTCAAAGCTTTTTTTTAATAAATCCACAAAAAAATGTGGGATGACGATAATACCAGTGGGTATGTTGGTCTACGATGTGATTTCTTAAGACATTTTTTAACGCAATTTCTATTCAGCTCATCAAACCTTAAGTATGCTAATGTTTCACATCAGGATACTGAAGGATCCGACCAATTCTGTTGTTGCCGCTATTGCAATGGACCTTTCTGCCTCAATTGCCAGACTTATTCGATGCTTAAGAAAGTTTGCTATCAAATAATTCAGGATGAATGTCCTGAATTTTTTGCAATAAGCTATAAAAAATCCAGGCTAGATGAAATAAGGGGTAAGTTACGCTATTATTTAACACTAGAAAATTTAAATTTCACACTTATATAAATTATTAAGATTCACTAAAAACCGTTTCCCGAAGCCAAGGAGGTTATGCAGCAATTTTGGAAAGCAAGGAAAGGATTCGAGGCTATTTAAAAAAAAGGAAAAATCCAGGAACCAAGAGAAGATAATAAAATGGAACTAGGATTATATATTTTATAAATTTACAAATTTAAATATGCAAAGAAGGTGCATTCTTTCGCTTTTTACTCATATTTTCGGCCAACATTTTTTCCACTCATGTCGTAATAAACAACATTATTTTATAAGGCATTATTTTAAGGGTGTTCTTTTTAATATAAGTGGGTTGGTAATAAATTAAAGCCATTAATTTCAGTAGTATTTAAATATTTACGAGATGAACGGCAAAAAGTCAGTGACTTAATACCAGAAATCTCTCGGTCCGATGCGCCCCATAATGATGCAACTGTCGCAGGTGCAAAGCACTTCCATGTGTCTCCGAGGTCCCAAGTCGCGATTTCGATACATTGGAAGCCACGTAGTACATAAATATTTATGTATAGTTTTAACTGCATGGCTGCTCAATTTATCCGCCCACAAAGCGTGATCGCGACTTTACGTTGACTGCGATAATTTTGTTAAATAATTGAGTCTGCAATGAAAATTGCGCATTACAGCGGCATAAATGCTATGATGCTTTTACTCCACGGGGATTACACTGTGCGTGTGTGCACACACCTAAGTGCCTTTGTGGTTACAAACACCTATTCATTCGTCTTGCTAGAATGAGTTTCTTTCCTCACTTTTCCCAAATACTCGCATAAACGGCATTCAAATCTGCACACTGCCTGACATTTTGTAATTTGACAAATTGCTTGAATTTTTGGGCAACTCCTATAAATAGTGGAGTTTCTGCCGCTCGAAAAGTTAGTTTGAAGCCAAACGAGCACACCGTTAGATCCCCTGGATAAAACGCCAAAAAGGAATATTTAATAACCCACAAGCCCAAAGGATACTATACTTAACAACAAATCAGGATGAAAATGAATTGCCTTGTCGTGTTGCAGTTGCTTGGAATTATGCTGTTGCTAAGCTATGCCAGTGCAATTCCCAAATACGAAGACAGTCATAAGTAAGTTGATTTTATTTATCGGGAAATAATACTTACTTTTAACTGCAGATTCTATGCGGAAAAAGCACAGCGAGATCGGTCGTATTATAATGAAAACAAAACCCAACCCAGTGAACCGCAGACTGCTTCCACAAAAGACAGGCTGGAAAGATTGGGATATACCACAGGATATGGATCTTTAAATGTATGAACGATTTTAAAATAATGAAAGCCTAAGACACTAAATCATTATGCCTTTAGGGTTATCCTGGTGGAACTGGATTGTCGGCATACAATCCCATTAAACTGGATTTGGGTGGCGTTGTTTTGGGAACTCTAGTGGGCATTGGCGCCATTATTTTGATTCCTAAGATTTTGTCCGCATTCCACGGCGGTTATGGAGGCTACGGTCGAAGTAAGTATATTATTTAATATATAGGATTAGACTCCAAAACATGTTATTTAACTTACAGGTGAGGACAATGACCTGACGCCTCTTAGTAGCATGATAAACAAAATCGACGATGTCCTGGGACAAAATAACATAGATTCGACGAGTTGCATGCAACGTGCTGTCTGTGGATACGTTCGCTCGACGGAGTACAACATGAAACTAGGTTCCTCAGACCAAATGGATGAATTTATTCATATGCTCTCCGAGTAAAGAACATTTTTTAAATAATATAATTTTCTCAAATGCTTATTTTGACTTTCCCTATTTTTTAGAAATTCTCTCGTTGATTATCTGCTAGATGGTACGGCTATAAAAGAAGCCCTGGAACATGGAAAACGATCTGGGGACCGACCTTGCGAGGAAGTCTACTCCAATTGTCCTTTAGACAGCAAATCAGCCACTGATATTATTATGAAACTAATGCCCAAGAAAAATCCCCAGGGAAAGGGAAAATCGTCAGCAATTTCTCGCGATAAGAAAGCATAGGCTTAGTTGTTTGTTAATATGATAAAAAATTGTTTCCCATCATTTATAGTACTAATCTGTCCGACCCAAAATATTTTACAAAATTAAATAAAACAGAATGGTTTTGCCTTTATTTAACAGAATGTTTTCTTTTTAACATTGTATTTGTGCTAATGATGATTAAAATTGAGCCTATGGCTGATAATTCAGTGATCTATACCTTTTTTAAAGCTGTGGATGTGAATAAGTATTATTTGGTTCGTTGCCTTGTAAAAGAATCTGAAGCTGCTTTTCCTGCTGCTCAATCAAAGGCAACCATTGCTCTGAGGGCAGAATAAACTTGCCAGGATCAAATTTTGGTATTTTATCCAACTTATTCAATACAGAATTGCGGTGTACCCGACCCTCAAGCATAATGTGTTCCAGCTTGTCAACCAAGTTGTTGGACTCCTTGATCAAATCGTCAATAGACTGCAGCAAGGCATACCAATCGATTTTCTGGGTTCCGATAAGAGAATTACCTCGTAACCTAAAGGGAAAAGGTACAAAGCTTCGCCAGGGCTTATACGGCTCAATAATATAGGGTATAAAATGCCGCTCAGACTCCATTTCCACTGCATCGTCGTCGAAATGCCAAGACGCAAGAGTTGGAGCCAAGTTTGAATTATTAATATTTTTTCTAGGCTGCGAGGACTCGTTAAAGTTAAGCTTCCGTATCTTTGCAATTTGATCGCCAAGTCTCTTTTCAACATCGGATGTAATTTCACTGCCGTCCTCATCAGAGTTCGTCAAATACGAGTTTACCAGATCGTTATTGTAGGCCTTGGGCAGTAGGGTTTGAGTTTGTCGCGAAACAGTATCCACACTATCGGTCATTTGAGACATGGAGTAAGTCAGGACGTCTGAAATTCAATAAAGACCTTAGAAATATTAAAAATGTGAATATTTTTCATAAAACTTACACTGCTGAAACCCATCTTTCTTCTTTGAATATTGTCCATCGGTTAGAATGCCTATTTCCTTGCGAAGAATGAGGTCATGTTGGACACCAAAGCTGGCCTCTTTCATTAGCTTTGTAGGCACGAAGTCGGTTTGCAGAGCTACATTGGCCTTACCCGCTCTCAGCCGTCTGTTTGGGGGTATACCATTTTTTTTTTAATTATTTTTAAGTGTAAATAAGGTAAACAAATTTTTTAACCTTGAAGCGTCCAGTAATTTGGCCCGCAACAGGGCACTTTTATCAGGTTTCGTGAGCGTTGAGACGCTAACAGCGCGCCATGGTGGGCGCTTGGACTCATTTTCTTTTTCCTTTTCCGCCGCCAGGTCCTTCATGCGTCTCCAACTGTTTTTTGCTCTATTAAAATAAATTTATTTTTCATAAGTAAACTAATGATGTTATTTGTTAAACTAAATTTAATTGGCATAATACTTATGTACCTATTCAATGATGCACTACTAGCACGAACGTTCGATTGCGAAGCACTTTGCTGGTCATCCACACTTTGCGTCTCGCTGGTTTCCGAGGATGTGCCACTGTTGTTGGAGCTTGTGGCTGACTTAAGCCTGTTCATGATGGCGTTTTTTTTTTTACTTTTTTAAACTTTAAATGTGTGTGGGTAAATGAAGTCTTCAAAAGCCCCTATCAGCAGTCAATACATCGATGCATAAACAAATTTGTGCATCCGCGTTGCCATGGAGTATATTTTAATAGCTTGGGGTAGGGTCGAGGATATCGATCAAAGGATAAACAGGAAAAGCTAAGCGACAATAAGCCACACTTCAAAGTCTATCGAAAGCAAACATGTTTTAATTCTATTTATTTAATCCGGGACAGATAACAAAAACAGTTTTTATTTTTAAGGTGCATTTATATTTTAAGAGTTGTTATAAAATGCATTTAGGATTCGGAAGACATCGCCATTATAATTCTCCAAAAATGACTTTCCAGATTTGTAGCCACATTCTGAAAATAGATCATAGCTTTGTCTCTGGAACCACAAGTTCTTTGTAGAACTGTTGGGATCGAGTGTGTTCAGTTGCAGTACACCAAAGTGGAAGGTTCTGCCGTCGGTCTGAACACTTTGCACCACAATTGGTTTGGGCAGGACACCGCCGGCCGAGTCCCCATGTAATTGCTTGGCCCTCGCCACAGCCACACCAAAAGCTTTCAGCAGGGTTCTCGCATGCAGCTGCGAAGTTGTAACCTCGGATTTGTGTACGTTATTGACCAAGTGCTTGTTGAAAACGGAGAATATCGTGTGTGGATGCGAACAGGTTTGGGTAGCACTCAAAGCTAAAAAAAAAAGAGAAACTTTATGAAAAATTGATATTTATATAAACGAAGATTTGAAACTTACGGTAGAAGTTCTCATTAACATAAATATGTTGCTTTGGAATCGAAATAGTGCACTTCATTGGGTACAGGTCGGGAACATTTCCTTCAAATTTTCCCTTTATAGCCTCAATAGCTTTATTGGAAACAACTACCTTTTGCGCAACCAGATCAAAGCTGAAAAGGTTTTCGTCGTGGTTTATGAACGTTTGGAATGGAGCATTGTCCATCAACTTTCGTTGCAACGTAACTGACTCGTTGGCTAGCTTGTCGCTTTCGTGTATAAGTTTGTTGATTAACAGGCGACTACAATTTAAATAAATTATTAAAATGTTTAAAAGTAATGAAGATTTCACCTACTTGACTCTTTCGTGGGAAATTCCATAAGTTCGCGGCAGGTTAAAATTGGGACGATCTGGGTTCCTAACCTTTGGCAACTTGACTTGCTCCGCGTCGTACACGTGGGAAGCTAATATTGCGTGCTTAACATTCTTGTCAATGGAACTAGGCAACTCCTGGTTGGCAATCGCATCCTCGATTTTCTTGGGAAACGTCGGAATCTCTATAGAGTTGGTCAGGACCTGGGCTTGGGGTAAACCGCCAATCACAACGTTGCTATCAGAAATCGTATGGCAGACTTTCGAATGCCAGTTTGGATGTGAACTGTCTAGAGGAATTGGACGCTCCCGGTCTCCCACTATGTTGACTCTGAAAGAGAACAATACATTATCTAAGATGAAGGTAATTTTTGCATTCAAACCAACCTCGGTAACTCCACCCTGGGGTTCAATATGTCCTCAGGTGTCTTGATGGTTATCCCCAGTTTCAAAAGCTCGGCGGCTGCTCCTGTTTCCTTTGGAACTCGCTTTCCCTGGACTAGCCAATGCTTCTTAAAATGCCAGCCAATATGCTGGGCACATAACGTATTTGTCAGCCTCATTTCAGTTAAGATTTAGCTAATGTTTTTGTTAAAAAAGTGGAGCCCGGCGGACTGGTTATGAAATGGGAATTAGGGACGGACGATAGGCAGTCACTGAATTATCGTTATCGATGTCACTGAATTTCTCTTCCATCTGATTTTTAAATTTTATATCTTAATATATGAGGCCATTTATTTTTATTATTTTTTTTTTTATAATAAATTATTAAAAATAATTAACATTAAGTTAAATACCTGTAATGACCCAAAACTGCCGCAAAAACTATCGTCGCAAGATCCATACACTATATTGTGAGTACGGTCTTACTTTTAGCGATTGTTGCAAACACGGTGCTTTGCCGGAGATTTTTACCAATTAATTGACGGTAAATATTAAGAGGTAATTGCAATATATTTGTCTCAACAATCCCAGCTAAGCATTACTTATTTTACCTATTATATATCTGACCAGTAATTCACGAGCATCAAGAGACATGCCCCGCTACAGAGAATGGGATCTGGCCTGCAAGGTATATGTGGGAAACTTGGGATCATCGGCGTCTAAATACGAAATAGAGAACGCCTTTTCAAAATATGGACCATTGAGGAACGTATGGGTTGCTCGCAACCCACCTGGTTTTGCCTTCGTTGAGTTTGAAGACAGGCGTGATGCGGAGGATGCAACCCGGGCGCTTGACGGCACTCGCTGCTGCGGCACACGCATTCGAGTGGAAATGTCCTCGGGCCGCTCACGTGACCGCCGTCGAGGCGGATTCGAAAGTGGCAGTAGCAGTGGCGGACGATTCGGATCCGGACGTTACAGGTAATAATCAAATATCAGGGCAGACCTAGGCCGTTGAAGGCCAATCTCTGGAAATCATTTACATAAAACTGAATACATTTCATTTCCATATAAATTTAATATTAATTATTCTGCTCTATTGCCAAATTGCAATTAGTAAGTGAAATTAAAATTGTTTACCCAACAAATGCAAAGTAAGATCTACCCTCGACTAAGTACATGGAGGTACTAATTGCTTACACCTACAATATTTATGATATATTAGCGTTTGGTATGTGTTAAATAAGAGTTATCGACACTTTTTCAGGATAACTCCTTCGGCTAGAACTACTTCCACTGCTACTTCTTCCTTCTACAACATCAGCAACCCACAACCTGCAACCATCTTCACAGCCACTGCCAGCAATCTTCAACTTTCAACTCTAAAAATTATCAAGTTCTGCGCGTTTTCATCGTAGAAGAAGAGCATTGCAGTCGCCAGAGTTCTACTTATGAAGTTATCCTGCGTATCTTTTTTTGTTTAAAAAAATGCATTTTTTTTATCAAACAATATGCTTTACTTGACGTTTACTAGTTTTGAAATATTTTTGTTGTGTTAATACTGAAAATGACCCTATTCCACATTTAAAATTCTTTAGAAGCTTTACAATGAGGCACAAAATCAATCAGAACTCAATTATTTAAATTTTTACTTCAAGTTTTTTTTATAATTGAATGAAAATAATTCGTAAGCACAATTCTCTGAAGATATTCCGCGTTTACCTTAGTTGTTTTCAATTTTTTTTTTGGCCAAAATGGCATCTTAGAGGCATCGTTTATTTTCAGCAACTTTTAAGGCGTATGTACATGCACTCTCTCTTTTCTCAGTAGTGCGCAAATGAATTTATATATAAACTTATTTATCATTTCCCACAAAACATTAATTGCAGATCCCGTTCTCCTCGTCGCTCCCGTTCGCCACGCAGCCGGAGCTATTCCTGCGATCGCCGAAGCCGGTCGGACTCCCGAGATCGCCACTGAGATGTTTTCAAGAGGATACCATTTAAGTAAAATCGCAATCTCTACTTGGATTGCGATGTAAGTAAGCACATAGTTTGAAAATGACAATAGACACTATGCGATGCATTCGAGAATCCCTTTTTTTTTGTATCAAATAAAGAAACACTGAAAAACGAAATAAAAACATATCTGTTTCCAGCAAAAAGTGACATGCATGATGCACACAGTTTATTATGTGAGAATTGACGTGCTACTGTACAACTTTCCTCAAACGTACGATCGGATAATAATTTAAACAGGCGCACAATCGTAAAATTATGTTGTATACTAACAAAGGTACACTTTAAACTTAAGAGAAGACGCAACACAATTCGTTGCACATTTCGCACTGGAATATACCTTACGTCTAGTCATTTTTATATAACCTTTCTGCGGGCTCTGAGCCCCAGTCCACAATGCAAATCGGGATTTTTATGGCAGACCTAGCGCATACGGTATGTGTTCGTCTCATGTATCTCCGACAGCTCGCCCTTGAAGTTAATGTCGATCACAAAGTCGAGGTCGCGATTATTCCGCTCGTTGGGCTTCATCTGGAACGTACCGGTGATCTCTTCATTCTTCTTTGCAGTCATTTGGTCGTCCAAGTAGAACACCGTCTGCTTCCAATGTGTGTATGTGGAATCGGGCGACGTGCTAAAACCGAGTCGCTTGTGGCACTTTGTGAACTCGATGTTGAAGTATGTGACCAGCGCCTGGACGAAATCATTGCGCTTGATTGTCAAACTAAACTGTGAAGCAAAGTTGAGGTCCGCCTTCTGGACGGTGTAGAGGTCGACTTCCTTGACCATGCACGATGTCGATACTACTTGTTTGGGGTCAACCACGTCCACTAATGGTTCAGTCACAGCCACTTTACGGATGCAGCTCATATCAAAGCCGTATACATCATCCCACCAGTTAATTTTCTCATCCTTGTACTGCCGATCCTCAATGGCAGTAATGTAAAGAGTTCCACGATCTGGGAACATCATGCCGCCGGGCTTAAGCCACTTGTCTCGCGCGTACAGCACTGTGTCCAGCATGGACTCGTAGAAAAGGCAGTAGCTGTATACAAAAAAAGATACATAAGCTAAAAGTACTTTTGGTTGTGGCAGTCCACAAAACCTACCCCATCCATTCCGAAATAATAATGTCCACTCCCTCAATACCATTCGGCAGTTCGATCTCTTCAATCTTGCCCTTGACAACCTTGATTACATCCTGAAGATTGTTGTCAATGACTACTTGGCGGGCAAACTCAATAATGTTGGAGCAATCCACTGCGATGACCTGGGCGGCGCCGGCTTTAGCGGCAAACATTGAAAGTATACCTGTACCGCAACCCACATCAAGAACAGTCTGTAATAAAGAGAATCCCCGATAAGCAAATGTAGACGGTATAACCCCAAAACCCTTTCCATCCTACCTTTCCCTGGAACAAATGCTTGTTGTGGTACATGGCGTTGCGGTATGTGACGGTGCGCACTTCGTCTTTGAGCATCTCCTCGTGGATGCCGAAGTGAGCGTAGGAGTCGAAATAGTAGTCCCGCGATGTCATCTCATCGGCATTAGCATTTGTATTGGCGTTAGCGTTGGCTCCGGTGGAAGAATCCGTGCCGCTGGCGGGCAGCTTCTTCAGCACATTGTTTGAATTGGGCGTGAGGCCGGTCGCGTTTTCCACTGCTGCTTCCATCGGGATGTCTGTGCTGGCCTGTCGGGTGAATGTGTCAGCTATACTCCTCATAGAATTATAGACATATCAACGTGAACTCACCATAATTAATTTTTTTTAGCGTCTGTCAAAAATTCTCCCGTCGAAAAAAGGTAGCGACTAAAAAATGGACTATTGCTACAGCACGCTAGTTTGCGAATTCGTTGTACAACACTGCATCTAAGGGTAGCTCTAGCTGAACCATTTTGAGTCTTTTGTTCTTTTTTGACAAAATGTATGTAAATGAAATATTTTTTAAAACTGTATTCACCTTTAATCAAAAACATAATAAATACAGAGAAACAATTAAATGCCGATCAAACCCTTTTCGGCGCCCATGTTGCAACATGTGTTGCAAAGTACTGAAGTTTTTGGTGTATTTTTTTGCGATCAAAACACAGCCACATTACCGCTTGGCAATTTGGCGGCAAAATAAATAGCACAAGGCATCAAGCGAGCCACAAACCTTTTATTTATCTCATATTACATTTGTTTATTGCTTAAGATGGAAGGCTTTGATGACGCAGGAGTGTTTTTCTCTGACAATTTCGGTGGCGAGAACCAGCAGGATACGCAGATCAATCTTCAGGCAGTGAAGAAGAAGTACAAGGAATTCATACGCACCTTCAATGAGGATAACTTCTTTTACAAATATCGGTGAGTGGAATGAAAACTAAAAACCAAACACAACTAATTATAATTTACGCTTAGCGATACTCTCAAGAGGAACTATCTCAATGGGCGGTACTTCTTGGAGATCGAAATGGAGGACCTGGTTGGCTTCGATGAGGCTCTGGCAGACAAGCTTAACAAGCAGCCCACGGAGCACTTGCAGATCTTTGAGGAAGCTGCCCGGGAGGTGGCCGACGAGATCACAGCTCCGCGTCCCGAACACGAGGAGCACATGCACGACATTCAGATTTTGCTGACCTCCAATGCCAATCCCACGAACATACGCGAATTAAAGTCTGACTGCGTGTCGAAGTTGGTCAAAATAGCTGGTATCATTGTCGCTGCTTCTGGAATTAGTGCCAAGGCCACACGTATGTCCATCCAGTGCATGTCTTGCAGCACTGTCATACCAAACCTTAAAGTGAATCCTGGATTGGAGGGCTATGCCCTGCCCAGGAAGTGTACGACAGAGCAGGCTGGTAGACCCAAATGTCCCCTAGATCCGTTCTTTATCATGCCGGACAAATGCAAGTGCGTAGATTTTCAAACCCTCAAACTGCAGGAGCTGCCTGACTTTGTGCCCCAGGGTGAGATTCCCAGGCATCTCCAGCTGTTCTGCGATCGCTCGCTGTGTGAGCGTGTAGTGCCCGGCAATCGCGTCCTGATCCAGGGAATTTACTCGATTCGTAAAGTTGGAAGACCTTCTCGCCAAGATGGACGTGAAAAAGCAGTAGTAGGTGTTCGGGCTCCCTATATGCGAGTGGTGGGCATTACCGTTGATTCAGAGGGAGCGGGTGCCATCTCCCGGTATAGTAATATCACCAGCGACGAGGAAGAGAACTTCCGGCGCATGGCCGCCTCTGGCGATATTTATGAGAGGCTTTCCGAGTCCTTGGCTCCGAGTATCTTTGGATCGCGGGACATTAAGAAAGCCATTACGTGCATGCTCTTTGGTGGCTCCCGAAAGCGCCTTCCCGATGGTTTGTGCCGTCGTGGGGACATTAACGTTCTGCTGCTGGGTGATCCTGGTACAGCAAAGTCGCAGCTGCTTAAGTTTGTGGAGAAGGTGGCGCCAATTGGAGTATATACGTCAGGCAAAGGATCCAGTGCTGCCGGTCTGACGGCTTCGGTTATAAAGGATCCGCAATCGGTAGGTCTATTTTATTGTATTTCTGGAGTTTCTTTAACATTACTCTTTTCTTAGCGTAATTTTGTCATGGAAGGCGGCGCTATGGTTTTAGCCGATGGAGGAGTGGTCTGCATTGATGAGTTCGATAAGATGAGGGAAGACGATCGTGTCGCTATTCACGAGGCAATGGAGCAGCAGACCATATCCATTGCGAAGGCTGGCATCACCACCACTTTGAACTCCCGTTGCTCGGTCCTGGCGGCTGCCAACTCCATTTTCGGACGATGGGATGATACCAAGGGCGAGGAGAACATTGACTTTATGCCCACTATCTTGTCCCGTTTTGATATGATTTTCATTGTCAAGGATGTGCACGATGAAACGCGGGATATTACTCTGGCCAAGCATATCATCAACGTCCATCTTAGCTCTAGTAAACCTTTACCAAAAGAAATGACAGAAGGAGAGATATCGTTGTCGACGTTCAAGAAGTACATCCACTACTGTCGTACACATTGCGGTCCAAGACTTAGTGAGGCCGCCGGGGAGAAGCTGAAGAGTCGCTACGTCCTCATGCGCAGTGGTGCCGGTCAGCAGGAGAAGAACTCTGACAAGCGACTGAGCATTCCGATCACCGTGCGCCAGCTGGAGGCTGTCATCCGGATCTCAGAATCTCTCGCGAAAATACGCTTGCTTCCATTTGCCACCGATGAACATGTAAACGAGGCACTTCGCCTTTTCCAAGTATCAACTCTGGATGCTGCGATGACTGGCAGCTTGGCTGGAGCTGAAGGATTCACCACGGAAGAGGACCAGGAAATTCTAAATCGCATCGAAAAGCAGTTAAAGCGTCGTTTTGCTATTGGATCTCAAGTCTCTGAGCAGAACATATTGCAGGTACATTGTTTGCTTAAACATTTTATTTATTTACCTAACAATACATATTTTGTTTTATTTGTAGGACTTTTTACGTCAGAAGTATGAGGAACGCACTATCATGAAAGTGATTCACACCATGATTCGACGCGGAGAGCTTCAGCACAGGATGCAGCGAAAGATGCTCTACCGAATTTGCTAACCAGTGTTATTAAAATCATTATTTATCATTCGTTTCATGTTACAACAATCTATTGTCATTCTTGTACCCTCATCTTTATTATTAAGAAAAACATACATTCTTTTTCATACAAAAAATTAGTTGAAAAAATAAAAAAAAATTAAAATTAAAATTATTAAAAAAATAAAAAAAAAACTTTAATTTTGTTTAGAGGGTTTTTAAATTTTTATTAAAGCTACAGATATACATAAAATACCGAGTATTACCGAAAAAATTGTTGCCAAATTTTGCCTTGTCCCATAACATACATGATGCTGTACAGATGCTTTTCTTTTTAGATAAAAGGATTTCAGATTTCAAGTATTCCCAAGATTTGGCAAATATACAAAAGTGAAATTTATACGCGTTTTCCAAAATATTCGGATAACGAGGAAATCCCATGGTTTTCGAAATCCATAAGGTAATCGGCCCGCAGATGATTCGTTACATAAATATTAAAGTTTGTTTACATTTGAGAAAAACGAGATTATAAGCAAGATCTTAATTTTGTTTGTTGATGATGCTTGAACAGGAACACACACACATGGTGGGGTCGGCCTCCAACTTTCCACCACAAACGGACAAATTCGTTCTAGATTCGGGTGTGTTTTGTATGCCTACGTCATTCGGACAAATCACAAAAACCAATCATATTACCTTGGCCTTTTGCCAATTTTTTAAAAATATTTTTTCCTCTGTTTGAGAACGTTTATTACTTCCTTTTATACAAAACTCAATTAGTATATTTGCGCATGCACAGCCACATAATAGTACATAAGTGTGCACGCAGAAATGTACTCGATATATGCAACATTTTTCAGAAATACGTAAGCTTCTCGTACTCTTCTTGGTATTTAAATACAATGGCGAATATAAGCATTTGATATTTATGAATTTCCGGAAGGAAATCTTTACATGTTTGTTTACCACAAAATACTCGTACGTATCCATAAAATGACTTTATTATTTTTAAGCTTCGTGGCAATAATATTTATTTCCGATACATTCATTCCTGGTGACGCCATTTTGTTGACGTCAAGTTCTTCCAAAATTTATTGATCAAATTGCTAAAAATATTCCGTATTTGTGTTTCCAAAACTTTTAAAAAGTTCCACAATTTATATAGTCACATTCGCTGAAAAACAATCGCCCACATGTGTTTGATATAAAATTGTATCATTTTAATTTAGTTCAAAATTTTAAGATTTTCCAACTGGGGGAAAATTCTGAAACACCCTCTCCCGGTTACGTTTAATTGATATTATGGTACTTTGCCCTTTCATACCCAGGGTCAAGATGATTCAAAAGTCAAACAATAAAATTTTAATTGAAATTCATATTGCAATATTTATGCCCATGTGTGTAAATATTTTTCAATTACCTCGGACTGTGCATGTTCATCGTTTCCATTAATAAAGCGATGCACCCGATGTTCTTTTCATTGCATAAATACATACATATGTGTACGGATCCATGTGTATCTGGTACCTTGCTTTTCATCTAAATCAATTTACTTTATACTTTCCAGCCACCCGCTACGTAGACCCCAAATCTAACGTAAACAAGTCCCCCAGTGCTGTCGCCTCCAGTGGAGGTGTCCAGTTTTAGTTTTAGAAACTAAATTTCCAACCAGCAATCGGCCACAAAAAAGGACAGAAATCACGGTTATATAATGATCGCCAATTATTATTGTTTTTCGTTATTAATTGGGATCGTCGAGGGAATTAGATAATTGTTTCTAACATGCCTCCACATATTCCGAAATAAAATTTTTTGAACGTCATCAGCATCCCATATTTGAGAGAGCGCCAACCGAAATGTATCTGGCGGATACGTGTATGTAACACCGAGGTGTAGATACAGAATGGCCCAGACACGAAGGAGGTGGCACGTGTGAGTGTGCCTGTAAGATACTTTTGGGGCAAAAAGCAAAAGAGCGAACACACTGAGTGGGGCCTTTGTTTTGTGAATGAATGAAAATGAAAATTCTCGTCGTACATATGCCAAGCCAGCATCTGTTGCACGTCAGTACAATTTTAGATCTCGACCGAGCACGTTCGTCCGGAAAAGCTATATACCCCCGATGCTGGTTGATTGTCTTTGGTAGTAAACGCGGATTCAATTAGCTCAAGGGCCCCAAGAAACAAAAATTTCCGTCACCCTGCATCAGAGGATCATGTACATTTACCCGAGCTCCCCGGAATCAGCATCATCCTTGCAGTCCGAAGAGAGTGCGGCCATTAAAATTCAGGCAGGATTTCGTGGATACCGAGTGCGCAAGCAGATCCATCGATCAACCAAGTCCTCCAGCCAGAACAGCACCTCCAGCCATCGGCGAAACCAGCGCCAAAGATCACAGAACAACGCCCTTATGGAGAACCAGGGAAACACTCCTCGCCCCAATGGCGGCGATGCGAAGGCGAACGGAGAAAATGGCGGAAAGTCGGTAGAGGATCGCAGTGCCACCAAGATCCAGGCAGGATTCCGGGGCTTCCTGGTGCGCAAGCAGCAGAAGATTGCTAAGGATGCGGCGGTGAAGATTCAGGCTGGCTTCCGGGGATTCAAGGCCCGCAAAGAATTAAAACAATGTGAGCCCATTGCATAGTGGATGGGGTGGTCCGCCCCTTCGAATTTCTACTGTACATACAAGAATATGTGTATTCAAATACCTACCTTTTAGTCAAATATGTGTCGTGTAAATAGCTTAATCTTAAATGATAGTTTCTCTCCACAAAGAATAAAATACTCTCACTCAAGAAACTGAAATCTTGAAAGACAACTTTATCCATTAACGTTACAAAATTTGTTTGTATTTTCCTAAGGCCTATTTTTGGGTTCAAGTGCTGCGTGTGTACATAAACATTTTTGTTAAGGATATAAATTTTCCATTTCGATGGAATGTCTAATTTGATTGATAAATGTTTATGTTGCGAATAAAATCGGATGCGTACGTATGCGTATTTTCCCAAATTTTAACAAAATTCCTATTAAATTTAGAATAAAACCAGGCTGGTGGCTGGGGCGAGACATTTGCTGTTTGGATTCGGTGCATTGACCCAAGGTGCACACCCAGCTCATAAACCTGTCAAATGTGTTCAACGTTTCGAAGCAAGGTGCCAACAGTTTGTTAGACAAAAAACATCCGCCCATCCCCAGTCAAATTAAATAAATTTCATTTAATTTTAAATAAATAGCCGCCTCTGTCCCGGAAGCTTGTCAGTTTTGTTTGATAACAAAAACATTGTCGATCGAATGTATATATTTTATTTGGATAAAATTCAGCGTATTTACTTAATTATACGTACGTTTTATTTCCTTTTGTTTGCATCTGCGCTTTTTATACGTTTTCGCATATGCTTTGGTATGACTCTGAATACTTCACAGTCGATTTGCACCGGCATTGAGTTCTGCCTCATGGTAAGCCATTTCAATTCCATAGCGGCCCTGGACTTGGCATCACCTTTGCGGAAAAATAATTATTAACGCCAATACTATATGGAAAATAGGTATCACACCTACCAACTAACTTGTGGCGCGGAGGCTTAGCCACTTTCTGAGTCTGCCCTCCATTGGTGGCCACACTGTGCTCATCATCCGGGGTAGAATCGTTCCGCAGGGCATCCCCGCGCTGCAGCTTCTGTCGCCTGGCAGCCAGGTTGCTCTCCAGACTAATGCCCTCCATTTTTCGAGGGTATCCTTTACGTTTGCGTGTGTGGATCCTATATGCAGCCTGAATCTTCTTTGCTGCCTCCTCCTCGATAAATCTTTCCAAAGATTCGCTTATGGCATCATTGCCGAAAGACGCCTTGGTGTCCTGGGTGGATGATTTGGTGCCAGCACTGGCGCGTCGCAGTCTGCGCCGGGTGAGAAATCCCCGAGCTCCAGCCTGTATTTTGGTGGCCGCCGATACGATGGTCGATTCTGTCTCCGTGGAGGTGCCCATGGCATCTGCCATGGCGGTGTCTACATCAAAGTCTTCTTGGCTGACCTTTCTGGGATCAATGTAATCGGAATCCGTTTCACTCAGCGAGTAGGCCATCATTTTCTTGCGAATGTTCTCCGATGTTTCGTCGTCCAAGTAGAAGCTGGCGGTACTTTTGATGCCATGACCCGAATCCATATCCTCTTCATAATTTAGTGCATCATCAATGGTCACAGAACGGAAAAGGCCTCGGGGATCATCTCCAGCAATGGTGTAGTGCCGCATCAAATGTACTCTGCCGGATTCTTCATCTTTTTCCACGATCTTTTCAGTCTCTGGATCACCAAAAACCACGGAATCACTCTGGGCAGAACTCTCACGGGTTTCATCTCGCTGCAGACGGTTGTAAACAATAATATCGCCATCTTCAATGTCCAGGCTGGATTGTTCCTGCAAAGAACTCATCGGACGAACAACAGATTCCTCGAAACTGGCATCACCGGATTGAATCCTTTCCTGGGAAGTTTGACTCCTGGATTCTCGCAACTGGGACATTTTCTCAATCACTTCCTCGGGCTTGGCCAACTTCACTGTAGCCTTGTCTATGGTATCCGCAGACAAAGTATCTAAGCCTGTGGTTTCCGAAAGTGAAGAATCCGTAGGATCTCCGGTCTCCGTCTCAGATATATTGACAAGCGAAGCTGATTTTTTAATGCAAGTTTCTTCAACAACTTCCTCTGGGCTTGAATTTTCATAAGGTCCTTGTGCCGAGGAGAACTCAATTTCTTTTTCCAAGAAATTATTTACCAGTTCTTGAGTGGATAGAATATCTACAATACAAAATATTGTTATAATTAGTTTGTGTTATAAACAATAAATATATTCCTCTTACCACGCTCGATTTTATCCAAGTTTGATTGTGTCAATAGGATGTCGTCCTCATTGGAACCTGATTCAGCCTCAACTGCATCTTCTGGACCTGCTAAACCACAAGACAGTGCATTATCCTTTTCAATATCCTTGCCTACGATCTCATCAAATTTAGTACCAGAATTTAGTTTGGATTCAAGCGAGCCATGCGAACTATCTACGGTTTCAATTGATTCTACTACTTGCGTGCTTTTACGTGCCGATGCTGCCAGTTCCTGATTTATCTCGAGAGGTTCCCCAACGACTTCCTGGCTTGGTATAATCCGGGTTGAACCCACATACCATTCTGATTTTGGCTTAATTTCCGGTGTATTTTCAACAGATTCCTGAACCAAACTATCTGTTGGTGTTGCATCAGTTGGATAATTAACATTTTCAATGGTTGTTATTCGGGAACTTGTAATTGATTGTGAATCAAATGAGTTTTCCTCAAGGGTTTCTAACTTCTTTCGTTCCAAATATTGTCTAAAAGCCCTTTGTATTATTAGAACTGCCTTGGCTTCTAATTTAAGATCGTCTTTTGGTGCATTATTTGGTTCAGGTATGGGTTCTTGTGTGGTAACTATGTTTGAATTCACAGATTCTTGCACTTCTTCGATTTTCTTAGACTGATTTTGTATAACCACATCTGGATTTTTTATTAATTTCAAATATCTTTTAAATGTCCTTTGAATTTTTGTTGCAGCATCATTTTGCCTTACGTCATTTTCATCTGATTTCATTTTATTCTGTTTAGCTTTATTTCTTTGAGAATAAAGCCTAAATGCCTTTTGAATTATTAAAACAGCATTGTTATGTTTTTCAATTTTTTGTGAGTCCTTTTCTTCATTTTCAATTTCTAATAAATAATTATTTTCAATTTCCACTGTGGGTATATCTAGTAGTTCTTTATTGTTTGTATTTTCATTCTTTAATTTTTCAACATAGTTTCTATATGCTCTTTGAATTTTTCTTGGAGCTAAGATTTTGTGGTTATCTTCTACAATATCTGATGAAAGTTTACTTGACTTTTTTATTAAAATATTCCGAATCCACTTCTGTATAACTTGAGCAGCATTGTTTGCTTTTGCTTCATCAATTTCAACGTTTTGGTTTTCTGGGACTTCTTGACTTTTGTTTTTGAATCTTTTGAAAGCTCTTTCTATAATCTGAACAGATTTGGTTAGGCTTAAAATATCAGCCTTGTAGATAGTTTCAAAATCATAATCGCTTTTTTTAGTTGTTGGCAAAGGATTTTCCAATTCCTCATTAGCTTCCTTGGAGTTTCTCAATTTACTTTTAACTACCGAAGACATCTCACCTGTTTCTGGATCCACAGCTTCATTACCTTCATTTTGCAAATCACTGGGTTGTTCATTTTCATTTAGTTCCAAGATGGTTTGAAGTTTGGTTCCAGCCATCTGTTGGTATTCGGGATCCCCTTCTGAAACTTCAATAACTTCAATTTCCTCTTCATTTTCATTATCATCTGCAGTAGAAGTTTCAATTTCCCCAGGTTTGGTAGAATCAGAATAGGCCTTTAGTTGACTTTTCTCGGGAATATTTGTCTTAGATTGATTCTGAAACTTTTTTGGTATTTTGTATTTGGGTTTGCCATCATCGGAGTCAAAAGACACAAAAAACGAAACAGAGTTTTTAACTTTTGGTATTTCGGGTTCAACAATTTTCTGGGGCGTATAATAGCTGGGAACTCTTTCTTGAGGAATAATAGGTTCTTCAATTATTTCTCCTGGTCGATCGGCATCAATCTGAATAGATTGAACAGAATCAGTTGTTTTCCCTGAATCTGTATCTATTGGAATCTGGTTCTCCACATATATATCATACCAGGCGCCATCGTCGTTGGTGTTTTTAAATGATTTCAGCTGCAGTTCAGCAATTGGTGTGGGAACAAGTCGCCCCGATGATAAAGTGCCAATATCTTTATCTTTTACATTTACGCTAGAGTACTTCTTGGTGTTCTTTTCAATCTCAATAGGGTTAGTTGGTAAATTTTGGGTGCCAATTAATTGATTAGATACAAGCAATGAAGAGTTTTTCTGCTAATTCAAAAACAAATTTAAGAACATTTCATTTTTACAATCTTACCAAAATTTACTTCAGTTTTCGAAGGAATTGAATCGATCTTCTCGGCCTTCGAATCTGGGACTTTGAATAAACAATATTAGGAATACATTTGTGATAATTTTATTTTTACCTACCATCTTTCTCGTCACTAGCAGAAGGAACACCATTAGAGGTTTGCGTTTCCTTAATGTCTACGTCATCTAAGTTTGTCAATTCCTTTGTTTTAATTTTTGAATCATTCTCCGAAAGTTCCTTTTCTTGACCATTTCCTGAATCAGATTCTGTATCTAAGAAAAAGCAGACATAAAATACACTTCAAAAATTATGAAAGCACTTCTCACTTGTTTTATTAATGCTTTCTTTGCTAGTTATTTTCAAACCACTTTCGCCATCTTTGCTTATAGTAACGTCTAAAAAAAAAATTTAAACTATAATTTTTAAAAATTATATATATTTTGAAGATACGAACCATCATCAAGCTTGGCATCCTCGGGTTTATCTTCTGGGGAAAAAGAACTATCTCCTGAATTTTTGGAACCCCTCGAAACAGTATGTTTATCGGTAGATTCTGGAGGGCTATCTGTAATGTCGGCAGATGAAAATGTTTCTGTAAACAAAAAGGTAATTTAAAACATACAAAATTAATCAAATTATAACAAATTTCATAATAAATATAAATTCACCAATGGCAGCGACTTTCTTTTCAGATTCTTTATCTTCAGGATCGAATTCTTTTTCTTCTGTAACATTTCTTAAACTATCTGTCATTTCATTCAAAGAACGTTTTTCCGAATTTGTTTTTTGTTTATTCTTAATGGTGTCTTCTGAAAAGAATTATTCATCAACACATAATTTATTTTATAACAAAAATTATACTACAAATTAGATTACCAGTGATATCTGCAGTATCAGTCTCTATAAAGTGTCCATTTTCTTCCTTGACAACTATTTTTATAAACAAACTTAAGTATTGTTAGTAAATAAGTAATGTATTACTACCTTCTTTTTCCATTGCTGATTGGTCAATGTTTTTTTCTTCTATAAGCTCATCCGTTCCTGTTTCACTTTCTTTTAAAGAAATATTATTCTTAGGTTTTAATTCATCTTGACTTGTACTTAGAGTTAATTTTTCAACGGATTTTGTAAGTTGTTTTTCATTTAAAGATCCAATTGGAAGCTCATCTACGATAAATTTTTTAACAATTTCAGATTTTTCTATTCCATTTTCTAAACATAAACATTTTAAAGAATATTTTTTTAAAGCAAAAAGAGTCGAATGACTTACCCAAACTATTCTTATCTTTCATATGAGCAATTGCAAAGACAGAGTCTTCTACTGCGTTAAGAGATATTTGAACAAGATCCTCCTTCAAATCGGTGGCTGCCACTGGCTTTATTTCATCTATGACAATTTAAAATAGAAGTTACTTCTATAGATAATCTAATTAGGTGGAAAACAATTTTCTTACCATCTGTGCTTGCAGACTCTTGATTATGTAACAACTCCTCTTGAGATTTTGTAGGAATTAGAATTTCGTCTTTATTAGCCAGATGATCGACTGGATGATCTTTATTTGCTTCTATCTCTGAAATATTATATTTTGAAGATATTGTTTTCGGCAATTGTTAAGTTTATTCTCTTACCTAGACTTTCAAGGAGCTTATTACCTATTCCGCGCTTCAAGGATTCAACTAATTCAGTTGAAATACCAGTTTCACTTTCCAACGACCCTAAAATTAAAATATTTTGTTACAAACACTTAGTAAAAAAATAAAATCCTAAGGCGAATTATCTGGTGGCCGGTAAAGGCTATATCTTTGCCAATATTTATCCGATTCTCAAGCGGATTACCTTAAACGATTTCTGGGCCGATTTCCCATGATTCTGCATCAAAATGGTGAGAAAAAATATTTTTTAGATTTTTTGTCCATTTTTCATGATGGGATCCCTTAAAATGGAGTTTTCCCTTATAGGGTCCACAGTAATGGCAATATCTTCCCCAATTCTTATCCGATTCTCAAGCGGAATACCTTAAACGATTTCTGGGCCGATTTCCCATGATTCTGCATCAAAATCCTGAGAAAAAATATTTTTTAGATTTTTTGTCCATTTTTTATGGGATCCCTTAAAATGGAGTTTTCCCTTATAGGGTCCACAGTAATGGCAATATCTTCCCCAATTCTCATCCGTTTCTCAAGCGGAATACCTTAAACGATTTCTGGGCCGATTTCCCATGATTCTGCATCAAAATCCTGAGAAAAAATATTTTTTAGATTTTTTGTCCATTTTTCATGATGGGATCCCTTAAAATGGAGTTTTCCCTTATAGGGTCCACAGTGGCAATATCTTCCCCAATTCTTATCCGATTCTCAAGCGGAATACCTTAAACGATTTCTGGGCCGATTTCCCATGAGTCTGCATCAAAATCCTGAGAAAAAATATTTTTTAGATTTTTTGTGCATTTTTCATGATGGGATCCCTTAAAATGGAGTTTTCCCTTATAGGGTCCACAGTAATGGCAATATCTTCCCCAATTCTCATCCGATTCTCAAATACCTTAAACGATTTCTGGGCCGATTTCTTTCCTTATAGGGTCCACAGTAATGGCAATATCTTCCCCAATGCTCATCCGATTCTCAAGCGGAACGATTTCTGGGCCGATTTCCCATGATTCTGCATCAAAATCCTGAGAAAAAATATTTTTTAGATTTTTTGTCCATTTTTCATGATGGGATCCCTTAAAATGGAGTTTTCCCTTATAGGGTCCACAGTAATGGCAATATCTTCCCCAATTCTCATCCGATTCTCAAGCGGAATACCTTAAACGATTTCTGGGCCGATTTCCCATGATTCTGCATCAAAATCCTGAGAAAAAATATTTTTTCGATTTTTTGTCCATTTTTCATGATGGGATCCCTTAAAATGGAGTTTTCCCCTATAGGGTCCACAGTAAAGGCTATGTCTTCCCCAATTCTCATCTGATTCTCACCAATTCACTGATTCTCCACCAATTTGTATCAAAATCATGAAAAATTCTTTTCAATTTATATCTGAAGAAAAGGAAAAAATATGTTATACCTTCGGTTGTAGGTTTCCCTTCAACTTTTTCTCCGGATAGAAGCAGTGGTTCATAATCGCCTTCCTCAATTAATGCATTTTGAATTTTTGTTTCCTCTGATATATTTTTAGAATTGTTGTCGGAATCCACATCTATTTTATTTTTTTCAGGACTTTGCTGTGATCTGCTATGTGATCCTTCCAGGACTACTTCTTTATCATTGGGATCTGCCTTGTGTTCTTTTTCGTTATTTTCAAGTTCGTTTATTACTTCATTAGAAGACTGTTTTTTTAATAACTTCTCGTCGCTAACTTCAATTGCATCTGTACTTCCACTTATAGCTTCTCTTATTCCTGAGATGGTTTCCGAAGTATCATTCTTTATATCATCACCTAAAAAATAGTTTAAAAATGTTAATTTAATATATTTTGAGATTTAAAATTAAATGTGCTTTACCTAGGGTTTTAATTTCCTCAACTTCATCCCCAAGTGTTAATAGTTTTTCTTCATTTTCTATGGAATCTTTCCCCGTATCAGTATCTCTCTCTGAATTCCCCAGTTGTTCAATTTCCTGTTTTTCTTCACGTTTTTCATAACTTATTTCTTTAACTTTATCCGGATCGATTTGATCATTGCTATTCTTAAGGCTCACTTCCTTTTCCACAAACTCGTCACCTTTTGTTTCTTCACCTATTCCCTTGGAATTTTCCATTATTTTATCTAAGTTAGTTTCAATCTCTTCTAAACTCCTCTTAGCCCTATATATGGGATCAGTTACAGTATCCTTTTCATCATCCTTTGAGGAAGTATCTTCAGTTGATTGTATTTCTTGAGTGAAGTTTGAAACCAAAGATTCTACAGGCTTTTCCGGATCATTATCGATTAAAATTTGTTTCGGAGATTCTGTGAAAAGAAAATATTATTAAAAACAAATATTAAAACCTTATTTAAAGCTTGGGCACCTTGATCGTGTCTCTCCTGACTTGCGTTTGAATTTAAAGATTCAATAGGCTTTTCCAAATCAGTATCGATTGAAGGTTGTTTTAATGATTCTGAAAAGGGATTATATTATTAAAACCAAATATTAATACATTATTTTTAATCTTGGGCACCTTGATCATGTTCTTCCTGACTTGCGTTTAAAACCAAAGATTTGTCAGGCTTTTCCAAATCATTATCGGTTGTATGTTTTTTTGGAGATTCTGTTAAAAAACTATGTTAATAAAACCAAATATAAATTCCTTATTTTTATACCTTGATCATGTCCCTCCTGACTTGAGTTTGAATTTAAAGATTCAATAGGCTTTTCCAAATCAGTATCGATTGAAGATTGTTTTGGAGATTCTGAAAAGGGATTATATTATTAAAACCAAATATTAATTCCTTATTTTTAATCCTGACCACCTTGATTATGTTCTTCCTGACTTGCGTTTGAAACTAAAGATTCAACTCGCTTTTCCATGTCATCATCGATTGAAGGTTGTCCATCCTTACAAGCTTTTGAAGCTAAAGATTCAACAGGCTCTTCTTTGTCATTATCGACTGAAGTATGTTTCAGAGATTCTATAGAAAAAAAAACTAAATAAATAGATACAATTTTAAGACATTGTTTTTAGTTTTGCATACCTTGATCATGTTTATCCCAACTTGTGCTTGAAACTAAAGATTCAACTCGCTTTTCCATGTCATCATCGATTGAAGGTTGTCCATCCTTACAAGCTTTTGAAGCTAAAGATTCAACAGGCTCTTCTTTGTCATTATCGACTGAAGTATGTTTCAGAGATTCTATAGAAAAAAAACTAAATAAATAGATACAATTTTAAGACATTGTTTTTAGTTTTGCATACCTTGATCATGTTTATCCCGACTTGTGTTTGAAACTAAAGATTCAACTCGCTTTTCCATGTCATCATCGATTGAATGTTTTCCATCCTTACAAGCTTTTGAAGCTAAAGATTCAACAGGCTCTTCTTTGTCATTATCGACTGAAGCTTGTTTCAGAGATTCTAAAGAAAAAAAAAACTAAATTAATAGATCAAATTTTTAGACACTGTTTTTAATTTTGCATACCTTGATCATGTTTATCCCGACTTGTGTTTGAAACTAAAGATTCAACAGGCTTTTCTTTGTCATTATCTATTGATGGTTGTTTTGGAGATTCTGTAAAAAATTATTAAAACCAAATATTTATACATTCGTTTCATATTTGGGTACCTTGATCATGTCCTTCTTTGGTTGCTTTATTGTTAGGTTTAGTATCCTGGCTAGTCTTTCGACTTTCTATATCAATCTCAGATACACGTTCGGGTAGTTCTGCTGCGCATATTAGAGACGGTTCTGCTGATTCAGCCACAACATCTAATAAAAAATATTATATTGACATTTTAAAAGATAAACGTGCATTTTACCATTAGATTCAGATGGAATTGATGAATTTTCCTCGGGACTATCATCAACATGTTCTATAGAAATTGTGGGAGTTGCTTGCAATTGACTTTCAGATTTGATAACTTTTGGAGGCGGAATGGTTTCATTGATTTTAATATTATCTACATTTTCTAAACCTTCAAAAGAGTCGCGGGGTATCTTGTTTGAATTTTCCTTTTCTTTATCTTCTTTTCCCCCATTTTGAGATTCACTTTTCAGATTTTTTTCATATTCAGTCTCCTTAAGTTCATTCGAAATGTTTGTAGCTTTTATTTCAGCTGTCATTATTGGTTCCAAATCAATGTTGGTTTCTTTGTTTTCAGTTTTTTTTTCCTTTTTGGATTTCAAATTTTCAATAGATGGTTGGGATTCAAGATTTGCTTTAGTTTTAGTTTCCAAAACAATATCATTTTCTTTTTTATAGTCTAAAGCCTTTACAGAATCTATGATATCAAGATCAGCTACATCTACCGACTCGTTTTCCTTCTTACTTTGAAGCTCATCTTGTCTTTCCAGTGTATGTTCCGGTATAGCTTGGATTTCTGTATCCCGTTTTTTAATAGCTCTAAATTCATCCTCAATTTCCTCTTTTTGTTTCTTGACCTCAAATTCAGAGTATTCATTATTTTCATGGTCCTCCTGATTATCGATCAAGGGGCCACTTAAAGTATCTGCAAATTGCCAAAATGAAGAAAAATCATTGAAAGTAAGCAAATAAATGAGTACTACAAGTTGGCTTAAAATTATAGAGCAATAAAATTCCGAACTAGATTACAGCAATAAATTTCAGTCAACAAACTTATGCATAAGTAATTACCGCTTTTTCTCAGATGTATCGATTTTTTGTCGCTCTTAATGGGTTCTGCAAAATACTCCTTTTCCAGGCCACCATCCACATTGCTGTTCTCCACTTCCTCATCCTCGTGGATTATTTTCTGATGGACTCGTTCCTCGTAATTCGTGCCACCCAGTTCGGTGGACTCCGTTGAAAGGAGGGCTGTCGACACGGAGGTGTAGGATCCTGTTTCCGAGGCATTGTCGTTAAGGTCCTCGGGATGATCGGCACTGGCCGAGGTTATTCTTCTGGCCTTATGTACGGCCAACATTCTACGAAAGGCTCTTTGGATTATAATGGCGGCTGTTGCCAAGGAAACTTTGTCATTTTCTAATCGATTTTGCTCCTGCTTCTGTTTTAAATATAAGCGATAATGTTTTTGAATAATGAGAACAGCTTTCATATAGTTGGCCGTATCAACTTTTCCTTTTGGTTCATTTAAACGCGAAAGCTTGAGTTTTTTCACTCGTTTTTTGGCATTAAGCCGCCGAAATTGTCTTTGAAGCAACAAAATAGAAGTCATATATTCCATGCTATTGCATTTATCCTTTTTATTTCGATCGGTTTTCACACGCTTCAGATATCGACGAAAGTGCCTTTGAATAATAACCACGGATCTTATGTAGGTCATATTAATTACATTTTTCGCGTCATCATCTTTTTTGGGTAAAGCCATAATAAGAGATTCCTTTTCTTCCTTTTCAATAAGAACTGTATTATTTTCCACATCCTTTGCTTTTGCGCTGAGAACACGTCCACATTCGCAGGTTACCTTTGCCACAGGACCTAGGTTTTCCTTGTCCTTCAATGAATTTTCGTATGTGGCATACTTTTTGTATTCAGTACGACCTGACTTTTCCTTCGATAGCCTCTGAAAGTACTCCTGCGCGAAAATATAAATATTATCCGGCTTCTCTCTTAGAACAGCCTTTATAAATTGCTTGATCAAGTCGGTCAGATTTTCAGGTATTATGTTAAAAACCATAGATATGGGCACTTGCTGACGTATACGGTTTTTCATAATGGTTTCGTAAGTCTGGGCAGGTTCATATTTTCTCACGGCTTGGTGAGACTTTTCACCAACAATCATGTTAAAAAACTTTGCCGAAAATTCGTACAGATCGGATGGTTTTTCACGCAAAACCTCTTTGGTGTAGACTTTCATAAGGTCCCGAAGTCCCTCTGGAACTCTGGGCAAACTAGCGGTCGTCATATTGGTGTTTTCAAAGAACGTCCACGGAAAAAGGTTGAATCGATACTGGCCAAGAAAGGTGTTCCTATATGCCTGGAAACCTCGATTGCCACCATGTGTTACCATGTCAACAAATTGGGTGCCAAAACATTTCACCAGCTGACGTTGCTACAACTTGTTGCATTTGGAACAGAGTTACACAAAAATAATAACAGTAATTGGAAAGTAATTTATTTCTGGAATCTATTTATATATTTTCATAGGTTAGTTCTATTGGAATCAAAGATTAATTATTTCAAAAGACCCGGTTGCATATTTCTGTTAAGCTAATAAAATATAGTAAGCATTTTACAATATTTTTTTAGCTTAACTGGAATTGCATTAAATGCCTTTAGTTTTTAAACTAATTAATATCTTCATCTTTTTCCATAATTCGGCAAATGATGGGGACATCCTTTATGTCGGCACAATTAACTTCCGAATTCTTCACAGATTCGTGAATAAAATCGTTTTTGAACTTCTTCCATTCCTGGGTGCGGAGCAAGTGTTCGAAAAGTTCCTGCCTTGTGGGAATCATGGTGTTTATGTAAAGTAACCGGCGCTCCCAAATATTTCCCGGATTTTGCTTGGTGTCCAGCAAAAAGAATCTGGGAAGAGTCAAGCACTGAACTATAGTTTTCGCCATTATGACCCGATGGGTCATGTTTTCGCCTAGGCCAAATATAGCCCCGAAAGTCAGAGTTCCGACATCAATGAAACGACTTTCACTCGAGGTTATCTGTAAATAAATATATTTGAAAATTGCATGAAATGGGAATAATTTATGCAATAAAAGTTTGCTACGAATAAAAACAGATTTTCTAACGACTTACAAAGCTCGTACTGTCAGTTGAATTCGATGGAGTTGAGGATATCGTATATATTTCACTTTCATCGGATTTTCTGCTTTCTAAAATTGAACCCGGATAAAATGGTTTTCTTATCTCCACACCCACATCAAAATCTAACTGAGATCGGACAGGACTAGGGGGAAAGGGGAAGATAACATCTTCCTCCCAAAAATCTTCAAAAATATCTTCTTCCTCAGCGTCTTCTACAATTTTCATACTTTTGATCGACGGCACTTTTGAACGTCGTATTAATGTGTACCGTATGATAGGAACGATTGCTCCCGGACTTTTCATAAGACCACAAGCTATTTGTATATCTCTTAATTCCATTTTTCGCATCTGTGTAGTTTTAAGGTATAATTAGCATATTAAACTTTTGAAACATGTACCATCTTAAGACTCTGGTAGATTTTAAAATACATAATTCGAAGATATTGCTAACGGGGACGCGCTATTTGTATATTAAAAAACTCACCGAAGAGTGTTTCTTCTTCGCCTCGTCTGAGGAGCTTGAACTCTCCACAAGATCAGTTATTGAAAAATTGGAACCTGCTTCCATAATTCTACCACTCTGAGTCGTGAAAGTGGATCTATGATCAGTTTTAAATATGTTTGATGAATCAGAGTCCACAGCTGATAGTTGTAGCACTTTTTTCCCCTTTTTTACTACATTCTGTAAAATTAATAATAAATTAGATTAAATATAAATTTAAAACTAATTTTACCTTCCTCAACAGTCAGGCATTGGAGTATAATACATTGGCCACTGAGTACAAAATGAACTTTGGAGACGTTTCCTTTGTCCTCAAAGTATATGGTTTCAAGTGGATTGTACTGCTTGAGGCTTCCAAATCGACAAGCTTCTATTAACTAGAATACATATTTAAGTTTCAAGAAATAATTCTCAGATAAAATCTAGCGCTTTGCTCCTTTACTTTACCATAATACAATGTTGGTTTGTATCCTTACCTGGTCATTATCGAGAAATTCGAAATAGTCCAGTGCCTTGATGGCCCGTTTCTTCTCCTCCCAGGTCTTAGTCATCTGTGTCCGGAGTATCGCATCGAAATCATAGTCGAAAAGAACCAGGAGCTCGCAGTAGCCTGCAAAGTGGAGCGTTCAATAGCTACTCCTCACTGGGAAATGGGAACATTGCCACTAACTTGGATTCGATTCGTTTCTATATAGTGAGTGCTCTGGTGGCGTGCATCTGTTTTTCAAAAAGCAAAAATAACAAAAAGAATATGGCCAACAGGCGAGGAGTGTAACAGGCGGAGCACAACAAGCCCAAAATGAAAGGCGGGTGTTGTTTTGGGCCAACCTATATTTGACTGAATACTTTACTTTAGGAGCTGGCTGGCACGTGACGCGGACGCGGACCTGGGCGGCGGGTATTTTGTTATTCATTTTGATTGAATCGAATTAGGACTTAACGTTGTTTATTGCTGATTAAATTGGTGGGTACAGGCAATCGCAAATGAAGCAACAATACACACAATGATATTTGTACATATCGCGTGCCTGACTTATGTATTTCCCATTTATTTCGACATGAGCCTCAAATGATGCAGTTTGCCTAATTTATTTTCTTATCAAATCTAAGTGCGATAAAATTGCCTTACAAACGCAATATTTACTTGTTTCAGGTATGAAAAATGTAAAAGTAGTGTAGATGTCTAAATGCTTACTGGCAGTCCTGAAGGTACGAGTTCTTTCGCGGTTTTCCAATAGTTCAGCTCCTCCAACTCTTTCTCCAGGTCCATACACAGCAACAACCTCCTGTAATAGTTTTTCTTAAAATTTCAAAATAAAGCTTATATAGTAATTACATTGCCTGTTTTGCCCCTTAGCATGTGTAATTCTCCGACCAAAATAAAATAAACTGTCATTGGAAAGTCTCCATGTCTTATAACAATGCGGCCAGGTTGAAGGGGCAACAATCTCACGAGTGGAACTAAACGAGCTCGAAGCTTCTAAAAAATAATTTTACAATATACTGAGTTGTTTAAAGATATTATATAATTTACAGGTGAAATTCCGACGAAACACCTGAATTTACTAAACAAAGAGCACAGCTTTTTTCTTTCCGGTATCGTACGAAATTTATGGGGAATGCGAATTAGAGTCTTTTCCTGTACATAAAATTGTGTTACATTATTTTTCGTTGCACATTTATGAACTAAAGTTACCGCTGATGTAAGTAAGCCCGCTTTACGTCGATTAGTTCTCACAAGAAAGGATACATTTCTCTGAACATTGAAGGAAAACTTTTGATCATCATCGTGTTCAGTTTCCACCCAATGATTGTTCAGGCTCACAATTCGTACAGCTTTCTTGAATAAAGCTCTAAGTCGTTGAATCCTTTTTCTTTCGGCAGTATCTTTTATACGTCTCATATTTACCCCCCACCCGAAGAGCCAAGAAAACAAATCAAACAACAACGTGTAAACAAACAAAAATATAAGTTTCAACTTGTTTGTTTTGGAATTACATTAACAGAAGTTTGAAATGTTATTAAAGGCGTTCTCAGCTTTTTGTTTTTCCTTTTTTAAAACAATTTAAAAAACATATTTTGGTGTTCCCCTGAATTTGTCTTTTTAGGGATGGTACATTCAAAAAACCGCCATAAAGGGGAAATTTCCCAATAGCTGAAGTAAAGTGCCATCTCTAAGCAAGGTGTTAGCGCTCATTGTGGTTGGCAAAAGGGAATTTTTGTTGTTGGTTGCCCTGGAGATCGTGATTTAAAGGTTGTTTTAAATAAGTTACTTGTTTTAGTATTTTAAAATAGAATTTAAACTTAAAAAATGGATACGAATGTAGAGGAAAATGAGACAAAGAAAACTGAGGATGAGGTAAGTAAAATAGCATGAAGAAACAAACATTTTATTTCGGTTAAGCAGCTGAAAACTTTCTCTTTCTTAGTTGGCCGAAAATACATCTTCTTCCCAACTAAAGGGCCATATTGGCCTACTGCCGGTCATGATTTTCTTGGCAGCCACAGTGGCTACTGCTGTGATAGTTGAACTTTTCCCACATGCCAGCCAGTTTTTCAATTGGAGACGAAAATATGCAACAGAAGATCAGCAACAGGTTCCCCCGCCCACTTATGCGATCTTTGGTAGGAGCCCTACGGAGGAGCACCTGGTCCATGTGGTAGATGTGCTGGATAGATTCGGTTACCAGAGAGTGGGTGTCAATGAGAGTTGGGATCTCCTCTGGGCCCACGACTACCCCTTCCGTTCCCTGCCAAACCTGAAGAATCTGGACCAAAACCAAGTCGTAAACCATTTTCCCGGATGTGGCTACCTCACCAACAAGGTAGATCTGTGCACCACACAGCTTCCATTTCTGCCACGTGCCTTCCGGTTGCCAGCGGAACGGGAAGAATTCCTGGAGTACGCCAAGGACAATCCAGATGTCCTCTTTGTCCAGAAACACAACGAGCACCGACACATCAGAATTCGGACACCCAGTGAGATTGCCTTTGGATCAAATGATTCCTTCGTCCAGGAATTCGTCCAAAGACCCTTCCTCGTGGATGGTCATAAATTTGACATTGGAGTTTACGTGGCTATAACCTCGATCAATCCGTTGAGGGCCTATATATACACAGGAGATGTTCTGTTCCGGTATTGTCCTGTTAAGTACTATCCATTTGATCCCGAGAACGTTGATAAGTACATTGTGGGCGACGATTACTTGCCCACCTGGGAGGTTCCTTCCCTGAGAAAGTATTACAACCGCTTTGAGGGAAGCATGAGAACTGTCTTCGAGGCCTATGTCCGCGACCAGGGAAAGGATCCTTCAGGAATATGGCCACAGGTGGAGCATATTATACGCACCACATTGGCCGCCAAGGAGAAGGACATCGTGGAGACTCTGAGCTATTACAGAACACACAATTTCTTCGAGCTAATGCGATTCGATTTGTTCATTGATGAAGATCTAAAAGTTTCCCTAATGGAGGCCAATATGTCGCCAAATCTCTCCTCGGCGCACTTCAAACTGAACTCCCTCTTGTACGAACAAGTTATTTACAGTGTTTTTAACCTGGTTGGAATAAGACCCTTGAAATCTACAGCTGGAGCTTAGTAAGTGAAGATCTAATCTATTAAAATTTAATAAAAATAATAAATTATAATAAATTATGTTTTACAGTTTGTCGAAAAGCTTAGAAATGCTCACCGCAGACAAAAACTTGGCCACTGAGTTAAACAAGTGTGTGGCCTACGACTGTGATAAATCCTGCAACAAGGACGAGTGTGATCTGTGCCTGCCCTGTCTTAGTGGATCTCAGTATCAAATACTTCAGAGAGCCCACCAGGAGCACCTGCACCGCGTTGATATGAAGCGCCTTTTTCCGCCACCCATTGTAAGACTTTTATTAATTATTTTTTAAACCATTTACCAAAAATATATTTTTTTTTCAGACCAACTTGAAGAAGTACAATCTATTGGAGGAAACCTTGAATATGACGAAAAAAAATGCCTGGATGACCCGCTGGTTTTACAACAAATGCCAATTCGATATTAACTGGTGCAATTAAATAGTTTTTTTTGTTATAAAATTGGCCACCGATTAGTTATTAATTAGGATTCCAAGGGCCATGAATCAAATCTAGTATTTTATGTATAATTGGTTAGCCAAATTAAATTATTAGACTAAAATCCGCCGGTGTGGATTAAGTCTGTTATGAAACTACCATTAGGTGCTCTTAAAAGACAAACAAAACATGTACAAATCCAACAAAAGACCGTCCTTAAGGGGTTATATACAGTTGTGATATATGAAAAAATCGATTTTTTTTTTATTGCATATTCTTTAAGTATATTTTATTGGGAATACTCTCACAAAAATTCATAACGATCGGAGCATTAGAACTGAAGCTGTAGCTATTTAAAGCGCACTATCTGCATATAAAACTTGAACAACCTTGAAACTTTAAACGCGATTATCTCAGAATCTTTTTTTTGGGAAATTACCTTTGCGGTGGACACGATTACTAAAAAACTACTAATCCGATCAACACCAAATTTTGACCACTTATTTATTATGATATTAGCTAGTCCGTGAACGAGGGATTTTCAATTTTTTTTAAAACTCCTTTTTTAAAGCACAAAAAACGAAAATCTTATACGTTGAAAAAGTACATTTTTTGTTAAAAACATCGCCATTTTTTTTTTCATCAAAATTTTTAAAAATCCCTCGTTCACGGACTAGACAATACAATGTACTAACTAAACTTTTTTGAATTTTGGATTTCGGATGAACCGTTTTCGAGAAATCTTGTCCACCGCAAGACACCATCGAAAAAAGACGATCCGGGGATTCGGCTATAACAGTTTTGTTATGTAATATTTTTGTATGAAAAAATTTAATTAAGTACCCAGAAACATGTACTAAACAACGTCGGTAAAACATTTTTCATAAATATTTTCTATGGTGTCAAAAAAAAATCGATAAAAATCCATATTTTTGCGCGGTACAACTGTATATAACCCCTTAACTAAACTTAAAGTTAGAATTGTTAAAAGCCTGTGAGTCGCAAATAAATTGAATGGAAAAAAATAAACTATTAACTCTAACAAACTTACAGATTGTTTAAGCTTATGGTCCAGCTTGTTTGTGGCGGCAGGTCATTGTCCATTTTACCTGCAATCCAACCCAGCTGGGACCAGAGGGCCCAATCCTCTGGCTTAAATAAGTGTCGTCTGGCTGGCTCTCCGCCTTTGGTGACATTGCTGGCATTGGAACGTTGTTGAAGCGTTGCCGGCATCGGCTCAGTTCGGTTCATTTCTGCAATGCCATCCAGCCAGCCAATGGTGTACACTTATTGCAAACCGATAAGACGCGAGATATGTCAATGTCAACATAAACATAAGCAGCGGAATAAATACACACGGGCATGGTCAGTGGCAATCAATGCCTCGGCCCGCCGTCTCCCATCCGGACTTCACAAATGCGCGACCTCGTCGCAACCCGGGCCATAATCGGAGCTACACGAGGAAATGTCAGGTTTGATAAAATATTGGCCAGCACACATTCTTACTCTTTTCGCGAGCGAGTTGGGAGCCCCAGAGCTCCAAGTCCAACTCGTAGTCCGAGATTCTGAGTCCCACTTCGAAAACCAAGTCCAAGCTCAAAGAATAGATGGATGCGACAGTTGGATTGGACGGACTTCAGGTACCATCTTTGAGACTTTTTTTGCTATGGCTATACTTTTTGTTGTTCTTGTGCTTTCGTCGAAATGGAGATGAAGACGGCGAAGAAGACGCTTTGTCGGCAATTACTTGTGGCGGTGTGAAGCGATGGATTTATTGCTCCAACAGCTAATCAACCAGCTGAATTTATCGCTGACTTCATTCGACATTTAGAGGCTCCATAAGGCTGTGCATTAGTTGTGATTGCGGCGATGGCGGCGCGAGCGAGTGCGAGTGTCATGGGAAAATAAAAGAAAAAAAAGCTCAGCTTAGGACTCAAAAGGTAAACCATCGACTTGATCGACTGATAGGTGCAAATTGCTCTTTGATAAAATGTTCTTCCCCCGGGATTTAGTTCAATGTACCATATGTACATACATATGTAGGTAGGTAGTTAGTTACTCTAGTCCCCCTTACTTCATCGAGATTTCGGTTTCTTTTTGGTATTTCGATTTCTATGAACTTCTTAATCGGTACTTGAAAGGCATTTCAGCTTCCGTTTAACGGTTTGCCTGCTCTGATCTTGGTCTTCTGCATACTTGGCCATAAACAACTTTTTCTTCAACTCTTCTCGGTTTCGGTGGAGACTCCAAACAGAAAAGCAGAAAAAACCACTGAAGAAACTGAGACTGGATGCGGCAGTGGATGGTGCTGGTGCGGTGCCATCGTTCCGTAATTAATAGCGGCTCATGCGTGGCAATTTAAATAGCCGCTAATTGTAACCACCGTCAAACAAAACCAGTTAAAATGCCAGGAAATGGCCACCGTGCAGAAGGCAGCGCCACATCGCCAGCGCCATCGTATATCCATGCACAGTAACAAAAAATTAGATCACAAAAATAAGGATCTAAAAGGTTTATAAACTAAATATAAGACAGGACCTCTCTGAGGTCCAAAACAACGAGCCGTATATCAATTTTTTTGTATATCAAGTTTACAGATCTTCAAAAAATGAGCTATTCTTTGAATCTAAAACTATGAATTTAAAACTATCTACAAACTATTTATTTAAGATAAAATTTGTTATATATTTTTATCACTGCATTTAGCCAGAAGCAGCTGCCTCTCGCGCTCCTCTGAAATTTGTAATTTTGCTCCTAATGCCGGCGCATATTTCATTTGCATCTTGGCTTAAAGCGGGGCGTCCAAGAAGCTACCAAGAAGCTTAAGCACTGGCGCAAATAAAGTACTTGCAGGATGCTAATATGCGACCATGGGCGAACTGGTTCATTACTTTTTTTTTCCACTTTTTTCCTTCTTTAAATTCATTTGCTCATTTTCGAGCTTATACTTAACACCACCGAGCCGGCTTTGAATTGGGTAGGTTTTTGGTTTTTAGTTCGAGTATGCAAATTCCTCGGACTCAACATCTGTTCTTCTTAAGGTCATTACCTGGATGACACCTCACCGTTATGGCCAAGATGAGGATCCCATCACTTCTCAGGACCGGACTCTTAATCTTGTAATCTGATATGCGTACTTAAGTTTCCATTAAAAAAAACGATTTGATCCAAGTATTTCCTAAGGAAATCAGGTTTTTTTCATCAATAAAGTACTTAGTTTACATGTTTAAATAGAGATTTTTTTGTTGACTTCCAAGAGACTGACATCCTTTCGTAATTGCACATTTTCCTGTTGATTTGGCCAGGAAAGATCCCACGATTTTGGTAACTTAAGACCTCGTAAGTTGTATAAAAATATCATAAAAAATTCCTGTTTTATAGTTTTCACTAATAGTGCAATAATACTATTTAATGAACATACTAAAGCCCATTTTCGGTACAGACACAATTAATTAAGTTGAGGAGAAATGCGAAGGCCTGATCAAAGTCTTGGGGCTTTATGTAGCTACTTTAAAGGATTTTTTTTCCTCGTTTTATAAAAACAACTTTGTTTTAAGTAAGCATCTTGATGCAATTTAACCCCATTGATTAGTTGGAAAACCAGTGATTATTTGGATTGCTAGAGTCGAAATTGGAATTGCTTGCCAGATAAATGTACGGAATACTAGCTGATTCGATCGAACTGATGTGATGATGCATCTTTGCAACATAGGCTGAGGCAGCCGCAGCATCTTTCTGGCAAAAAACAAAAAATGTCTGGCAAAAAAAAATAACAAAGAGCTGCTAGGGACTATCAGAGTGCTAGGCAGAGCCTAGGCAGGCTATCCGGTTTAATGGCCAAGGCTAAAATGGCGAAAACCCAGCGACTCTGCCAGTTGGCAGTGGCAACTACGATGCTCATGGCCTGGATCAATTTCAATGCCTTGCATCCGTTAGGTGACCTCGAGAACTTCAAAGAATTTGAATAGCTATTGAAAATTATGGTGCATGGATGGTATGGCTTGGTATGGTATGGCCGGCGGCCAAAGAAAAGTGTTTGGAGCTGCCGGTTCCCATATCCGAGACTCTCTGGTCGACTGGACTTGCTGCGGCAACTCGTCGCCTCTTTGGTGGAGTTGCAATTTTCAGATCCTTGTCTGGTTCGCCACAGATGTACATACGAGTGTACTGTCTTGACCCTACATCGTCACTTGGCCAAAACTATGAGATACTTTGCATTATGGCTTCGTAAAGATAGGCCAAAAAGATGTTTTTACATATAAACAGAAAGAGGGCAACTAAGTGTAGCTATGAGATTTATTATTACTTTTATAACTCTTTACCTCACCATCTACGAAATGGGTCGAGCCCCACACCCACTCAGTTTCGGACGCATTATTGATCGATATTCATTGCCAGGAGATCGATTAAATATCAGGCGAAAGTGAAAACGCAGCAACAGCCCCGCACCACCCAACCACCCAGCAATCCAACGTGACTCCAGTTTGGGTAATATAGGTAGGTATGTATATACCACCCCGAGGACCACCCGCACGGCATCGGGAAACATGTGCCTATTGACAGAATATTGACAGAAGCTATTTCACTTTTCGGGGTGTGACAGACATGCCGGCGTTGCTTTTTTTTTGCCGTTCCTGTTCCCGTTGCCGTTGCCGTTGACTGCACCACTCGCACGCCCCCAGACCCCAGCACCCACAATCCACTACCCAACAGAATCAGACCCACCAACTTGCGGCAAAAGAGGGCCTGGGTTTCCGTCTGTGCCAAAAGTTTTGACTGCGATTCAATAAACAAACGGTATTATTAAATAATGCGCTCGTTTCGCAGCGTCGCAAGTTGGCCGAGAAATTGGAGAAATCGGTTCCGCTGCCCGATTTGTCTTATGCATTTGTATATACAAACAAATATATATATGTATGCATATAGAGTGTGGATGCACACACATTCCATAGCCGAGTGCATAAGGATTAATATCCATACAGCCACGTCCACGGCTCGCCGCCAAATTCGGCACAGAGAGCTCTGCAAACTCTAAACTCGAGGCCCGAGTTCGGAGGTGTTTTAATGAATGTTGCCAGGATACAGGTGCCAGGTGAGGCCATTTTGTTATTTTTATTTGCTTTGACAGTCGGCACTTGAGCACCCAGCGGTTCGAATCGCAGCAATTGTACGTCGTCGAGTCGGTGGATTACTCCAAATATTGGCCAGTGT